TCCGGACAATCACCGGCATTACTGACATTGACCTTCATCCGGTGTCCAGACACCGTCCGGCCATCCCCCTGCTCAAACCCACCTTTTCTGTTGCACCTGCATCTCACCTCGGGAGTTGCAGTCTTTAGGGCCGTGCAAAAGATTGTAGGAAAGGGAATTCCCAGCCAATCAGAGCTCGCAAAATTCCCTTTCATACAATGTTTTGCACCCCCCCCCCCCCAACGACTGCAACTCCTGCAGTGTCTATCGGTATTTTCGAGGGTCCTATTATCAGCCACATCGCCTCGGATCCAACCATTCGGAGTGCCAATTCACCAAAAGCGTCTGGATGTGAAAGATATTACATAGTTTGTTGAGGGCAGGTCAGATCTTTGACCGATCTTGCAAAAATGGCGGAGAAAGTGCGAACACACTTGGTCGCAAGACCCGCTCCCCAAGGTAGCGGGAATGTAGCGACTGCCCGGATCCACCGTCGGACGACCGCTTCCCAGTGAGGTATACGACAACAGATAAGGCATGCAAAGAGTGACACGCGGATCCGTCATGATCAATGGAAGTGAATATATTACGGTACTACAGTTGATTATATATATTCCAAGTCTATACCAGTAGGTCAGAGCCTGCCTTGGATAGCTCTGAAAGTGGGTACGTACTTTACGCCACTGTAGTCCCCAGTGCTCATGTATGGGGCCGTCGATCCCGAAGGCGAGTCCCCTGAACCACCAAAAGTTGCCCACGATGAGGAAGGCAACTACTCCGAAGGCTATCCATTTTGTTCTGTCCGTGAATCGGCGGGAGGAGAATATGAAGTGGTCGAGTAGATGGGCAAATAATAACACGGAGAAGTATAACGTTGGGAGCTGCTGAAGTGTTAGACGCAGGATAGGAGATAGGCACTGCCATACGTACGTAGTGGTGGACATAGGTTACGCGACCCATGATCATGAAAGGGACTAGCGAGCGCGATTAGTCCGATGCGCAGGTGAGGGAAATGAACCTTACAGTAATGCAGGAACCAGCCTATGAACGCGATCTTGCCGACATACAAGAAGTGGTCCCATTCGCCTATCATCCCCATGTCAATTGCGCGGGTTACGAGACTAAAGACGGCATACTTACGAGGCTCCATGTCGACATATTTGCGCTGCTGACGGAGAAGATACACTCCGAGCGTAACGAGGAAGACGATGAGACTGGTAGTACCTCCCCACCAGATGACCGGCGTGCCCAAGAGGTAGTACTTTGTCTGCTGATCGCCCCAGCCGCACATCCGCAAGCCCAATCGCAGCCAGGGCCAGTCAGTCGGCTTGGAGGCAAGGATATCCTCCTTATCCGGGTCCGGGATGAGAGCGTTGTTGGATGTCCACATGGCGACGTTGAGGTGGATGAAGTCACGGAAGAAAGGCGATCTGTAGAACTTGGCATCACCGGGCGGTACTTCAGCACAGCGACATCAGTGGGCCATGACAATAAAAGAACAAGATAGCACATACATCGATCATTCCAGTGACTTTCGACATTCCAATATGTATGAATATCTTTGGGGTTATTCTCCTTGTCACAGCTGACCTCGACCTGCTTGAACCCCCACTGGGGCAAGATCGCGTTCGCAGCCCTCAGATAACACCCCGAATCCTGGTGCCGGAAGCGCAAGCGCGTCGTCAACGAGTGGATCGTTACGAACTTCTCCTTTCTCCCGCGTTTGATATCGTCCACAACCTCGACCTCCCAATAATCATGGTAATCCCCGATGGTCGCGTTCCCGTAGCAAGACACCTCGTTGTTCAGCTTGGTGACCGGCGCCGGAATCGAGTGCGAGTGGAGGTTGCGCGTAGTCGACGCGTGCTGCAGCCGGATGACGTCGCCGTCCTTCAGGAACCGCAGCTCGCCATTGGGATCATAGTCGGGCTCGTCCCAGCGCGGCATGATGATCCAGTCGTTGTTCTCGTCCTTGTAGTGGTAGCAGGTGACCTGTTGCTGGTTGGACCCGACGGGGTACGTCTGGACGTGCGAGTGCAGGAGGCCACCGCCCCAGCCCATGTTCTTCAGCGTAAGCTTTGACCCGTATGCGATATCTTCTCAAGTAATGAGTGTCACGCGTAGGGGATGTGATAGCAAACACACCAAGCGGATTCTTTGCAAAGTCATTACCGACCAAATTAGCCTGGAACAGCGAGCTCATTTGCGAATCTCCTGGCCCCGAATGATTGAGGACCAAGAAATGGATCTTGAATGAAGCCATGTACACCAGTGCAGGCAAGACGATAAGGCACAGTACGCGCGCACCCCAGTGTCTTAGTTGATCTTGCTAAACGATGCCTTGAGATGATTGCAAATACAACCGTGAAGTATACGAGCTTACCACGGACATCTTGACGTCTCCAAATTTCTCCCATAGGTCTTCGATCGTGTACAGGCCGACTAGGGCCATCACGAAGAGACCAATCCATTTTACACTTGTACGCGTGTCAGTCAACTATCCCAGAAGCACAGAAGATATTCCTCACCTCGCTACACAACCGATTGAAACGCCGGTGAAGGCCAGCCATAACCACCAGTCGAAGGAAAATGACCTAGTGAGCGTCAGTGAGCTCCCAGATGCTACAGGAGAAACTATGACACGGACTGATATTGCTGATTGTGGAATTTGCTGAGCCCGAATACAGTAGAGAACGTGAACGCCAAGAGCATGGAATCCAGAAGGATGAATCTTGAGATACATAACCAGGCAACATCTAGAAATAGTGTAGGAGCATTCAGGGGACAAACATACCGGCGATTGAGAGGGAGACTTGCCGCAGAGAACCATAATGGCCACTAAATGACACGCCCACTGGCTCATACCCAGTTCCACGGCGGTATACCAGCCCAGAGGCACCATGACCACACCAAACATCGCCATGAGTACACGCATCGCCACGTACGGCACGGTCTCCGGATACTGCTCCCCGCTCTTGAACTCGAAGCTCCCGTCATAACCCGACAGCAAGCCAGCGAGCCCGACGAGCATCTTCCCCAGCGGTGGATGGACATCGAAGTAGAACTCGCGCTTGAGGTAGTGTGAGCCGAACTTCCCGAAGTGGGCTTCGTCCCAGATGACATACGGCGCCTTGCCTATTTTATGGAACCGCGTCCAGCAGGAGAGGAGGGTGTATATTGCGGGCGGGACGTGTTCCATGTTTTGCTGCAGAAATTCGGTCTGGAGCCACGCATTACTTCAGTAATCATCTTACTACTCAGAGTAATAGAACTCGGACGCACGAATGTAGTCGGAGGGGGCGGGGGCGGTCTCCTCTGCCGCCCGCTCCCCAAGTTCGCCTTTGCACTCCCGATTTTGTTGTAGACGTCCTTCCCGCCATCGTCATAGAACGGCTCCGCCTTCTCGTCGTGCACCCCGTTCGCCGTCGCCGCCCCCGGGCCCTTGGGCACTCTCCGGCGTGCCTTCTCCTCCGTCATGTAGTGCAGCGGCAGCTCCTCCTCCTGACGGGTAGACCAGCTATTAGTAGAATGTGTCGGATAATTGACTTCTTCGAAGTCGGAGAGCGGCTCTTCTTCGCGGGGGTCGCCGACGGTTATCGCAACTTGGGGCGGCCTCTGCATACGCTGTGTCGGCGCTGGTCGTGTCGACCGGGTGGATGCTGGGCGAGCTAGCTGTAGAGCGGGCCAAGAATAATTAACAGAGTGTATGCATGCTCGACTCTGCGTCTGACTTCTGCGATAGAGGCGCTGCGGCACGTGCCCCGCCACGTCAAGATCGCGTCTGGGCGGTAATTATAGCGTGTCGGCTCAAAATTACAGTTATATTTGGGAAAGAAAACAGAAAAATGATACGCAAGGGAAGTACACCAAGAGAGGGAAACAGACGAGGAATCAGAGACGGACGACCCTATGCACGCATGGCGTCGTGCCGGCGGTATTCAGCTGCACAGGAGGACGAGGCAGTCAGTCACCGGCTAGTATCATAACAGCAGTAGACACACCTGTCACCATTGCGTGGTCACGCTCGTAAGGCTCCAGAGTAACCTGTTCGATAGGCTTAAAGTGCTGTTCCCGCAGAGCATCCACCTCCTTGGCGAACACGATCGAGGGCTCAACCGTAGAGTCGATGCAGTTTGCTTTTATTGAGATCACAGCGTGTCCATTGTTCCGCAGGAACATGTGGGCGTTGATGGCCACTATACGGGCCTGGTCGGGTTGCGCGACATCGGCGAAGATGACGTCCACTGTTGAGACGAGCATCCGGTATTTTTGTGGCAGACGGGCGTCCTCCACGATGGCTGAAGCAACGAGTCTCGTCACTAAGAAGTTAAAGGAACTTTCGAGGTAACTCACGAATGACATTCGTCCGCTTCTTTGCCATACCAATTAGGTCACGGCCTGATCGTGGCGAGAACTCTACAGCGTACACAACTCCTTCCTGCCGTGGCTGTCAGAAACAACAAGTAGGAACAAACTGCACAACACTTACCGGCCCAACTATATCCGCTACGTGACTAACACTAGTTCCGCTAGCAGCACCGAGGTACAACACCTTCTTCCCAGGCGCAATATAGATCTCATCCAACCCACTGAGCACCCCGGCCGCAAGCTTACTCCGGAACGGATTCCACACGCGGTACTCGATCTTCGTGCCCTCCACACCGCCGTCGATGGATATGCGCTTCTCGCCGTACACGCTCTCGCCGGGGACCAGGTTTTTCGTGACGAGGAGGTGCTCCTTCCCTTTTGCGATGAAGATACCGGGATGGCGATGGGGCTCGAGGACGACGTTCGCTCCGCCCTTCGCGCCGCCGCGGCCTCCTCCGCGGCCCCGCCCTCTGTCACCACCACGACCCCGTCCCCCGCCGCGACCGCCTCCCCTGCCGCCTCGGTCGCCCCCACGCTTCATAACTCCTCCCCCTTGATAACAAAGCAATTCAACGCATTTTCAAAGGGAGAAGGCAGGTAAGACAGACCTCGTGCGCCTCCTCTTCCCCCACCCCGTCCACCACGGTCACCTCCGCCCCTTCCACCTCGTCCTCCCCCTCTGCCTCCAAAGCCGCCCCGGCCGCCTGATCCTCCTGCATTCCTCAAGTGAGACCACGTATTCCAAGCAGAAAAGGTTTGGATAGCTCACCGAATGCCATGTTTAACCGGGTGCGAGGAGAGGTTATACGTTGAAGTTGGCCGGAAGGCTTTTGGACTGTGTACAGAAAATTTGGAACTCTTTCGCTGAATGGATCTTAGATCAATGCGTGAGAGAAAGCGGTCCGTGCAGTGTCCTACTTGGGACCCCATGCGAGACCCGGTGCACACTGCCACAATCCGTTCCGCCTCAATGCAATAATCGTACAGACATCCTAAGTCTACAAAAATTCGGATACAGGGTATAATAAGCCAACGTTGGTCCTCCGCTTAGATAAAAGCTTTGCCCTTCCAATACGCAGCCCATCTCTTCACGTCAGCACTAGTCAGTGCACCAACGGTTCTGATAGCCTCGCTGAGCGCCTCAGCTTTAGCAGTGGAGAAGCGCGCAACACCGCCAGCCTCTACCACGTCTTCCTTGTCAGTCACCTGCAGAGCCTTATCCGCTTCCGCTAACTTCCTGAAGAAATCCAGAAGTCTGATTGCAGGCTGAACGCTCGTATTATAGTCAGCGTATGCGAGATGCGACGGCTTTCTTTGCAAAAACTCACGATGCTCTCATAGTCTTCCTTCTCGGCCTTAAGGGCCTTCTCCTCGATCTTGGCTACCCATTCTTCGAAGGGAACCACGGGCAGAGGCGATGATTCAGGGCTAAGCGCCTGCGCAACGTCTCCCATAATGCTATTCCACTCGACTGGGTGTGGATGGACAACATTGAGAGCAAGCGGGACATCCACCGAGGCCAGAGCAACGTCAGAGATAACCGACGCAACCGTGTGCATCGGTATCCACGACACCACCTGCCCAACGGTCAACACGCGGTTACAGCGGATGTGCAGGTCGACACTTACACCCTTCGCCTGCGGAAGGCATCCCAGCGCTAGGCTAGACTTCACGAGAATAGGCACCCAATCACTGGTAGACCACGCCCCCTTCGGCAGCCCACCGCATATCTGGCCGATACGCAGCGACGTGCTATGGAGGCCGTGTTCAAACACCTTAGCAAGTATCTGCACAGCCATAAGGACACAAGGATGCCATTGAAGATACAACCGTCAACACACCTGCTCCACGACGTACTTCCCTTCACCATACCCAGCGCCCACAGCATACTCAGGCTCCGAGATAACCTCTTCAGGATATTGGCCCTTGGACTGGTCCCAGGACTGGGCTACGGCAATGGACGAGGTGAAGAGGAACTTCACCAGCGCGCCCGACTTCGCGGTCAAGGCAAAGTCGATCAGGTTCCGCGTTGCTCTGATATTTGGTTCGAATGATGACAACGAGAGGTTGAAGTCGAGTCTCCACGCGTTGTGGATGACATGTGTGACCGTCGAGTGTAACTTGTAGCATATGAACCCACTGTTGGGATATAGGCAACAGGGAGCGGACTCACCTTCTCATAGGTCTCCGCAGACAAGCCAAAGTTCTGCACAGTAGCATCGCCTTCCAAGAATGCCACCTTCGAGGACGACAGCAGATCAACAGGCAGACCCCTATCCTCGAACGCTGCTTTCTGTCTCTCGACCGAAGACCCAGCATGCGACTTCCTATTGAACGCATAGACCTTCGCAATCCTTGAGTCCTCCAAGAGTGTAGCCAGAATATACGACCCAAGGCTCCCTGTGGTCCCAGTAACCAAAACCAGAGCACCGCCAGTACTGGTTAAGTTCGAATTGCTCGTAGAGGGATTAGGGAAGTCAGCCGAATACTTCTCGATCAAGGCCGAAATGGCCTTCGCAGGCGCCTTGTCGTGCAGCCCGTTGAGGGTAGCTGGAGATACCAGTGCTGCGACGGCCGATGCCAGCTGCCTGATCGTCGGATTGGTGTAGACGAGGTTCTGGGTTAAAGCGGAAAGAGCCTGCTTGGCTGGTACATCGACCGACAGCCGTAATGCCCCGATAATTCGGTTTCGCAGGAACGTGGCGCTCAGACTATCGAAGAGAGTCCTTGTGGTAAGTCCCCCGACTTACAAATAAACAGATGACTCACCTGTCGAATCCTTGCTCGAATAGATCAGCTTCGGGGTCGATGTTCCTGCGCTCATTGATCTGCTCAGCATTCTTCTGCAACCACACTGTCAAATCCGCACTCGTCCAGCTCGCCGGCGGCTCACTATCCTCCGCCTTGAAGCTCGACTCGACAGCCTCGTACCTACGCAAAAGCGCTGAGCCTGAGCGACGACATCCTCGAGTATCTCACTGAAATTCGCCACCCACAGTGCATCGATCTCCTTCTCGTACAACGCCAGCGTCGGCTTGCGCTGCACCGTCCCCTTCGCCGCGCGCGGGAGCGGCCGTGCGGGGTCGGCGACGAGTATCATCTCCTTGAACAGCCGGCTGAACGCTGGGGCATCCCGGTTCGCCTCCTCCACCACCGGCCTATCTCACAGTCATCAGCAATCGCAAATTAGTCTGAAGGCAAGGAAAGAGGCGTACCAGATCTTGTTGCGGAATTCGACAAGGGCCTTCTCGTCCTTGGGATCGATGACGTACTCGGACGTCGGCTCGATAATGATGCCGACCTGGTTGCGCCCGCGGCCGAACATGAGCGTGCCCTGCACCATCGGGCTGTGCCCAATGTGGCCTTCCATGGGCCCCGGGACGGTCTTCTCGCCTACCAAGAGTGGTTAGTGTTGCGAATCCGATAAGCAAAGGGAGGCAATTTGGACAAACCAGATGCTAACACGAGCACATCGTCTGTGCGACCAACGCTGGCGACAAGTCAAGGCATACAGTGGGGTCAGGAGTCGCTCGTACTTACATCTTCCACAGCCCCTCGATCGTCGGGTGTTTCTCCCACAGGTCCGAAGTCGCGTACCCCCGTACATCAGGCAGGTTTTCCACCGACACCTGATGATTCTCATTCGTCTATACATTACCAAACACGATAAGTTCAACACCCACCACGCCACGGGGAAGACAAGACACATACCAGCATGTGCAGCTCGTACGTCCCATCGCCCTGATCGATCCAGCGCATCTTCATCCGTTCGCTGAGCCGCATCCACGCCCAGTCCTTCGGGTTCTTGAGCACATGCGGCGCCTTATTCTCCGGGTCGATATCGAACATATACGCGGGCGCGCCGAATTCCGTGCCGCCGTACCCTGCGTTAATCTTCACGCCATTCTTCACATACACGTCCCCCGCCTTCGACGACAGCGGGCCGCCTGCGAACGTCTTCTCTCGTCACGCCACGCATATCTCGGAGGTAAAGACCATGAGTACTCACGACCATCTCCATCTTCGCCAGAAACTTCACCGCTTCGAGATTCTGGGCCCACACCTCCAGGAACGCAGGGACGACCACGACGGCAGTGGCGCCGCCGCGCCGGCAGTGCTCCAGCGTGTTTTGCGGGTTGGGCATGACGGGGGGAGCGGGCGCCTTTGGCGGAAAGGTGACGACGGCCTCGCCGGAGACGAGCGGCGCGTAGAGCTGCATGTAAATCCCGAGCGTGTGGAAGGAGGGGAGCATCATTGAGCCCCAGATGACTGGGCGCGGGTGGTAACGAGATTCAGTCACAGACGCTAGCATAACGAGGACGTGGAGGTCTGAGCGAGTGTCTCTTTGTATGCCAGGCATGAGTGGACGCACGGAATGAACACCAGTGTAGTATAGTCCTGTGCGTTTGAGGGATCGGCTTGGGGAACCCGGTGGACCCGGATGAGTGCAGGTACAGGCAGACGTCGTCCATGGCGGGCTCATATTCTAGGGGTGGATACTCTACAAACGGATCTGCAGCCGACTCTTCCCCGAGCTTGGGGTAAGCTTGGGAAAGAGTCGGGATCTCCTCGATATGCAACTCGTAGCCCTTGGCAGTGAACTCTGTATTGCAGCCATCTATCAGTGGCTGGAGGATGGACGCGTTGGTAAGAAGGCGGTGACATGATGTCTTCTCGAGCATGTTGTAGATGGCAGCTGTCGAGTTGCGGGGCGAGATTGGGAACGGCTGCGGTGCGGTTTATTCATGCGATCTAATCAAACAAAGAGTCCAAGACGTACCACGAATCCTGCTCGTATCATCCCCACCATAAGTGGTATATACAGGATAGTGTCGCAGTGCGCGATGAGCGCTACGACCTCTCTGTCCTTACCGGTGCCCTTCGGACGGACGGCATGTGCTATACGATGGGTAGCTCGGGCGAACTCTCGGAATGAAACGCTGGCTACATCGTCGCTGCCGTCTCGCGCAAACTGAAAGACAGGCAGTTCGGGATTGTGAACATGGTGGTAGTCGACGAACCCAGGCAGGACTCGGAAGGAACCGTCGAGAGGAGGGACTGCGCTCGGCGACATATTCAACTACCTTGCATACAAGTTATGAATCAAGTTGAATGATATATAAGCGGAAACACAGGCGAAGTCCACCTTTCCCGGAGCATCCTCTGCTTCAGGACTCTGATAGAGAACTGAAGCATGACCAGACGCTGATGCGAACACTCTGTCACGGTCGTTATTCTGGGAGGCCCAATGGCGAACGATCTAAGATCCCGAAGCACCGTGAGAACATACCCGCCGGACCGTGCCGGTGTTGCCCGATTCAAGTACGCGATCAAGGCGGACGGCTTCAGTCCTTCGGTCGTTTCGAGCAGTCGGAGAGCCTCTGCCGCGTTACTGTGCGTGATCGTGCTGAAGAATCGCGAACAAATTCCCAGCTAATTCTCAGTGTCACACTGACATTTACTGATACAATATGTCGCCCTTGTTGTCGCTAGCACACATGTCTGAATTCAATTCGCTAGTACTCCCAAAAATCATGCGGCGAAAGACATCAAATCAGACCGACAGACAAGCTCACTTCCCCGTGTCCCGGATCAGGTGGCAATAAAACGAACTCTGGCGCCATCAGCACCATTGAGGCTCTAAGCCACACCTGTCAAGCCCAGCACGCCAATTCTGATGGCTCTCCGTGGATTCCTGATCCAACATCATCTCCCTCGCCTCGTTCATCAAGCCGTAGGAGCGGAAGCTCCCCTCAGCCGAGCGTCCGAATCTAGCGACGACAGTGTCTCGTGCGGCTATGCACGCTTACTGCGAAAGCGCAGTGGGTCCCATAAAAAGTGCGCTCGAGCTTGCGGCGCGATCGCGTCCTTCGACGGCCGACCGCTCCTTCGCCTCTTTCTTCGCTCCTCTGGCCACTTCCGACAGCTACCATGTCTGCTGTAGACCAACTCCTCGGTAGTGTGCTCGTTGGTATATTTATCGCCGCGATGTAAGTCATCATCACATTTGGTTACAATTCACGGAAATAGTGACTTGGTGCAGTTTGTACGGAATCACGACCACACAGGCCTTTGTATATTATCAGAACTACCCGAATGACCAGAAGCTGCTGAAATGGATGGTGGGGCTCATATGGTGGGCAATTATGACTTGAGATGCGGCCCGCACTCTATATCGACCTGCCGCAAGGTTTCTGGAGACCCTCCATACAGGCTTTTGCATCGACTTCATCTATAAATATGTGATCACGGAATATGGGAATGCTCCGTTTATGAATGTCATCTACTGGAGCGGTGGGGTACGCTATATCCTGTGATTGGATAGTTCGCGTATACTAACTTTTCGCGGAACAGATTACAGTGATAATCGGGGTGCTCGTCGCTGCACTAGTCCACGGCTACTACGTCCGGCGGGTGTGGATATGTAAGTGGCTCCCACATGTCCAGCTGCCCAACCTCATCCGTGCCCGCAGTGAGTGACCGGAATACCATCTTGACCGCCGTTGTCACTTTCCTTGCGGTCCTACGGTTCGGTGAGTGATATCTGCAGCCGTCTACGCAGGACTGCTATCCGCTTACGAATTCTTGACACAGGCTTCGGCGTGGGTTAGTACCTGTTAGCCACCTTCACACACAGCTGCTGATATCCCGTTGTCCTGAAGCAACGACAGTACTCAGGTATGCGTTGACTCATATCTGACCGGCACGCGCCGGATAACATGTTACTCTCAGCTACACCTTGAGTGAATGGAGCGTATTCCGCACGCGGAAGCTTCCCTTGGTACGCTATCGCCCACCTGCTCTACCATTTCTCTGACTAAACCGCCACACTTGCAGATGACCCTCGCTGGTGGCCTCTCATCCGCCGCGGCAGTCGATTTACTCGTGGCTGGAGCCTTGTGCTATTTCTTAGAGAGGAACCGTACAGGATTCCAGCGGTATGTTTCTTCGTCTTTTCCGGGGTATACTCCTTCAATGACATCTCTATTGTTAGATCCGACAGCCGTATCAACCTGCTAATGGCGTACATAATCAACACCGGTGCATTAACGACGTACGTCCTGCTCATCCACCCCCACCCAGCCCTCCAGTCTCACGCACGCACCCAGGGTATTCTCCCTCATCATCGTGATCACAGTCGGTCTATTCCGTACCTCGTCTCCGCAGCCCACTGACCCGCTCCCTCAGTTCGCCGCGATGAACGGCAGCCTCGTCTTCCTCGCGTTCGTGGAGATCCAGAGCAAGCTGTACGCCAACTCCTTCCTCGCGTCGCTCAACGCGCGGCGGAAGCTCATGAACAGCGGCGCGCGCGGCGCGAACGGGTACCCCACGTACGAGCTCAGCAACGGCGGGCGCTCGCACATTCGCTCGAACACCACAGGGCCTGTGGTGCGTGCTTCCCTTTCCCTTCTAATTACCTTCGATTCCGTAGAGCTGACGGATGGACGGGTGCAGATCGAGATATTCCACGAGACGACGCGGATCGTCGACAGCCCGATGTCGCCGACCAAGTCGGTCATGAGTATGGGCAAGGAGGCGTACGCCATCTAGCCGTTCGTCCGCCATTGTATAGGCTTGTGTTCTCTTATCTTGTCCTTCCCTGCCCCTAGCTGGATCGCATATTATCTTTATTGTACTCAAATACCCTGTAGTACCTGTAGCACCTGAGAAGGAGGTCGTGTTTTATTTGCATTGAGCTATGTAGTTATTGCTTTGCTGCGGATTTTGTTATATTACAGATTGCGCTCGTTTCTGTCGTTGGAAATTCGGAGGATCTTTGAAATGCCTCGAGGGATTCGTCGGTGCCATGGTACTATGGAAATTGCTAGTACTCCCTGGTGGTGCCTACACATCGCACTCTCAAGTGGGTATTGAACACACTGACAGTGCGTCCGCACTACCCGAGTGATGTACGCCAACATGACAGTGATTCTGGTGGCTTCCAGATGAGACGCGCTCGCCGACTTTGAGTACGCTCGATCGATGTCGACCTGACGAAGCCAAGAATAATTTTGACGGAGCTTCTCCAATATTGCCCATGCCACCGCTGCTGCTGATTGACAGGACTGCGGCGGTCGTACCTCGGGACAAATCCCGATGGCCACACTTCCACGATAGACAGAGAAGCGCATTGCTTCTACCGTACTATCTCGGTAAGGCACATGAAACGGCCGAACGACGGTGGGGGATGTATGCAGATCAATATATCAAAGTGATGATCGACGTTCTCGCACCATTCAAGCTTGGGATCAGGAAGAAAGAAGGACTGTAGTGTCGGCTCGAGGATCTTGCTGCTATAGTCCGAGATCGCATGGTGCAATCGAAGCGCACAGTGTGCTGTGCGTCAATGATTTGCGTCTTCTACATGCGATGCTCTCGACGAGACATCGCATGAAACGTCAACGCGAACACACCTTCGTCACCTGTATCAGGCCCTTGGCAGGCGGTCATTGACGACCTATAATCGGGGAAACTTAGGGTGGAAAGCACTCGCTATATCTTGTGGGCATCCGAGACCAATATCAGCAATTGATGAACACCATCCGCGAAGTACTCACTCACTCACTCTCGACAGCAGGCAAAGCATGACGATTTCGGTCTGCCTTCGGGAGATTCGGGAGAACGTCTCGAAGTGCGTAAGTGTGGATAACATTTCCTACCCACACGGACGTACCACGGGGCACCCCAGGGAAGGTCTTAAGGATCTGTCCGATCAATTCTCGGACACCGAGGGCGAAGAGAAGCTTGCTGTTGTCACAACGTGTCACGCCTCATTTACGATCTCGCTGCTGATTCTCGCACACTCATCATTCACGAGGCGATGGACATTCATATCAGTCTAACACCTCTGAGCAATTATCCATGCCGCGTATTGCGTATGTTGCGTCTTACTTGAAGTAGCAAGCCACAGTATCCCGACTTCCCCCTCCGATATTGTGGCGGATGGGACAAGCAGATGTGCATCGGTCGTTTGGCTTAAGGATGAGATTCCCGGTAATTAGAGACGCGAAGCGTACCACGGTCAGAGTAAATTTTTGAAATATCCATATCTTGATCGTACACCCACTGATACTTCTGATCGAAGCTGTTCCAGGCGCTATATATGCAGGATCGTGCAATCCTGTGAGAGGGCAGCCGCCCAACGTCTTCACTGGCAGTTGGCATCATCTATAGGCTGACAGGTACCGAACCCAGGTAGTAAGCCTGCTGATCACTCGCTTTGGAACGCAACATGGGCAAGCCAGTCGACGTCCACGGTCAAACATCCAAAGGCCCTCGGGCTGAGGATGATATCCCGGAATACACTCCAATGTCGTGGTAAGCACCCACCACCGCCCGACATCGCCCGCCGCTAACGATGAACATGTCAGGACACTGAGCGAAATACGCGCTGCCATCCCGGCTCATCTGTTCGTTCGAGATACGAAGAGGGCAATCGGATACCTCGTCAGGGATCTCCTTATGGCGGCGGCAGTGTGGCGCTGTGCCGTGTTTATCGACCCATACTTCAAGCACGCCACAACGAGGCAACTTCTTACACCCGCTGGTGCTGAAATCGCACGATGGACTGCCTGGCTCACCTAGTAAGTCCTTTCCGTCGTCCAGCATCCATCTTCCGTCATAACTCCTGCAGCTGGTGGTTCCAAGGCTTGATATTCACGGGTATCTGGGTGATCGGGCATGAGGTGCGTTCGGACGTCCGATGAGACGCCTGCTCTCACACCGACGCCACTATCCCCATAGTCCGGCCACGGAGCGTTCTCGCCAAACAAACGCATCAATAACGCCGTGGGCTTCGTACGTGCCCTATCCCCTGCGGAAATTAACGAGCCCAGAGCTCACCGTGCGTAAGCAGATCACGCACACCTTCCTCTGGACACCCTACTTCAGCTGGAAGATTTCCCACCATCGGCACCACATGAACCACGCGTCGATGGAGAAGGACGAGGTGTACGTCCCGAAGACGCGAAGCGACCTCGGCATACCCAAGGAACAGCCGGGCCACAGCGAAATCGACTACGAAGATTACTTCGGCGATACACCCGTCTACACGCTGTACATGCTCGTGCGCCAGCAGGTCCTGGCGTTCCCAGCGTACCTTCGTGAGTCGTCTTGGCGAATTCATTATGCCGCTGCGCTGATTGGCTTGTAGTGTTTAATGTCTCCGGGCAGAAGACATACCCGAAGTGGACCAATCACTTCGATCGTAAGTCGGCCTTGGTACCTTGAACACCATAAACGCCTGACCGGTTGTGTATCCCTAGCCCGCTCCGTCTTATTCACTAAAGAACAAGCCTCGGCGGTATGGATATCCAATCTCGGCATCGCCGCCATGATCTGGGGCGTAACAAAGGCTTGCGCCTTCTACGGCGCCGCCGAGGTGGCCAAGTTCTACGGCATCCCCTGGCTGCTCGTCTCGCACTGGTTCATCATGATCACGTACCTCCACCACACGGACATGAGCCTCCCGCACTACCGCGGCAAGGAGTGGAGCTTCCAGCGCGGCGCGGCGGCGACGGTCGACCGCGACTTCTTGGGGTGGCAGGGCCGCTTCTTCCTGCACGATGTTGCGCATTATCATGTGATCCATCATTTCTTCCCGAAGTTGCCTTGGTGTGAGTATCTTTCTGCGAAGCGTTTTGGTCCTTTGCGCTGAGCTGTTCGCAGATAACGGGGAGGAGGCTACGAGATACCTAAGACAAAAGATCGGGGAGCATTACGCCTACTCCGACAAGCCCGTCTTCAAGGCCCTATGGGATACCTACAACGACTGTCAATTTGTAGAGGACGAAGGTGCGCTCTTTCCAACTCCCCTCGATGTGTCGATGATGCTCAAAGAGCTTGTTGGTATCTGCAGGAGAAGTGCTGTTCTACCGGAACAAGCAAGGGAAGGCGTACCGGAAGCCGGCAGAATCGTACCTGAATGCGCAGGCTACAGGTCAGGCGGGAAGTAGGATTCAGAGGAAGTAGACGTTGAGAAGGCTGCGCGGACCCCCTCATGGTGTCAAGACATAGATGCGATTCCCGTTGATGTAAAGATACCCGATCGGATTTTGTATTATATGTTTATAGTCCAGGATTTGTTGTAGACTCTTAATTGACTTATCTACCCCAGGATGTCACGGTATCCTAGAGTCGTCCGTCCCTGCTGCGTGAGTAGCGCCCGCGAGCTTTACCTACTGAAAACCCTGTCACGTATTCTGTGGGCTGGCCAGAAAGTCGACCCCACTGGGAGGTCACACCGCCGAACGCGTTCGCGAACTGCAAATGCGAACGTGAGAACCACTCCACGGTGCACGTGGGCGCTGTCGATTCGTGGCTCTGTCCACCGGCCACAGACGCGTACCCCTCCTGCTTGTGATAAAATCTGCATAGCCTGAGGGTTTTAACTTGTAAGTTTATTGTATCAGTCTGTGAGATTGAAATTGCTGGGTAATTGTAAAAAATGTGGTGAGTAATCGAAGCTGTCTGTCCAACTGGGGTCACACGAACCCACTGAAGCCCCTTCCGTGCCCTCCCCCTAACGGTTTCCATATGTGGTCAATACTACTGGCATTGCATTGGAAATGTGATGCCTCCACAGATGCCCTGTATACATATAATTAGTCATTGGGCATGGACAACTTGAAATTCATTACTCTATTCACATCATCAATATCCCTGGTATGGTACAATAATATGTGCATAACAAGCTGTATTTTATGGATTGAAAGCATAGCCACCATTGCCTTTCTCGCTCAATAACAGTTGCGGTGTGGCGATTTCCTACGCTCCGGTGGCGTGGCATCCCCTCACGTGCCCAGACATTCGCCGAACACGTTCGCGAACGCGTTCGGCGGGCGAACCTCCCAGTCGCCTGGACGTTCTCGGGCTGGCGGAATTTCAGTCACCGATGTCACGAGTAACAAAAGCACGTGACACTAACGCATGACGCGTCACCTTCAGACCCTAGACGCGTCTCCCCAACGTCTCCCGGCTCTCCATCTTCTATGGACCTTTGCCACGAGCATGCTAGACTGTCCTTCGACGACAAGTCTATCGATACATACGCAGTCAGCAAACAGCGTGGCTGAGGCATGTAGGTCTATATGCAGTTCTAGGTGAAGGTGAGACAGAGCCTCGTCGAAGGCCGACCTTCTCCAGCTCAGTCAAGTGTACTGGCAGCAGCAGCAACGGTAACCCGTACCAGGAGAGGTGATGTATACACCACCTGGCAGAAACCCTCGTTTTACGGCGAATAAGCGGGAGACATTCTAACACGGCGGGCCGCTTTGCGTAGACGTAGCATGAGTCCAGAACGCAAGCTGACGAGCGCATACATTCACCCATTCCAGCGCCATGAGGCACGTCGCACGTTACATGGCAGATATGCGACCCCTACTCAGACTAGTACCCTGTAACTGGGCATAGATTCAGTCGCTTCATTCGCCATCCTCTGGCGACTCGACAAGCTGCGACTGCGACCGTGAGGTTGTTAATCGCTAGGGGTAAGTAGGGCCCTCTCCCTATTGCGCTATTATTTCAGCCCAACAGCGCAGTGCAAGGGCCACCTTTCCTCCGTAACATTGTCAATGACGTACCGTACAAACAGACGCCGGTGCGAGGAAGTACCTGGAAGCATGGATCATTCTAGTCGTCGTTAGTATCACTGACAGTGCTTGCCCATCTCGCTCCTTTGAATTGTACCACTCTTAACGCTATGTTCTAGCAATGACTCTCTTTGCCAAAGGGCCCGCGCTGGCGCTGCCTTCTAGAATCGTCTGAACGTCTGAATTCGCGAAGTCAGTGGAATCTCTCTGAGCAAGCGCCTTATAAACCGCACCACGACTGGCTACCTGGTATCAAACATTTGTCCCTGGACGTTCATGTTTCTCTGCCTCAATGAATATTGCTGGTTCTTACTTGGTCATCGTTCTCCGCGACCCAGACGCGTTCTCATTCACGCGTGCGCGGTTCACGTGGCGTCACCGCTACGGCAGGGCCAGAACGAGAGCTCCACGACATCGAGGACGACGCGAAATTCGATGATGATTCGGAGAGTACAAATAAAATCGCTTTCGCATCGCTGCTCAACTTTGTGTCGTCCCCAGCACGCAGCGTTCTCTGAAGGTACAAGCCTTGGCCGCCGCGCGAAGACGTCGCGTCAGAAATGACGTGTATCCTGGACTTTGTTTGGTCATGTATTGCCCGGATTACCTGCTCAGCTTTGAGCTCAGGCCAAAACAGGCAACTCCTCCTAGTCCATCTCTGCTGAGCTCTTCCTCAATCCTTCACTTTGACCTGCCATCATGGCCTCCGATCAGCAGGTTGCGCTGGCCAGAGTGCAGCGGGCGAGCACGAGCAACTTGACAAAGTCGACCAGACAAGTCGTGCCGGCCTTTCTGCAGAAGCTGTATGAGTAAGTGATTGTCGTTCTTCCATGGGTGCGAAAGGGGAAGTTGATGTGCTTTCAGAATGGTGAACGACCCTACCAATAACGACTTGATACGATGGGCGGACGCGGGCGACTCGTTCTTCGGTACGTCGCTCCTCGAAGCCTCTGGGAAGAGGCGTTGACCATTTTCGCAGTGCTGGATCACGAACGGTTTGCGAGGGAAGTGCTCGGACGCTGGTTCAAGCATCAGAACTTCAGCTCGTTCGTTCGGCAACTGAACATGTACGGGTTCCACAAAATCCCCCACCTCCAGCAAGGCGTCCTCAAGTCCGAAGCCGAGACCGAGTTTTGGAACTTTGAACATGCCAATTTCCGCCGCGGCCAGCCCGATCTCCTCGCTTTCATTCAGCGCAAAAAGCAAGCGCCACAACCGAACGGAAATGAAGACCATCTCCTCGAAGCTGCGAAGGATCCGAACAACCCGATGGCTGTCAACGGATCCTTGTCGGCCGGACAACTCCTCGATATGAACGCGATTGTCAACGGCATCACAGTCATTAAACGCCATCAGGCTGCCATTTCCACTGACCTGAACGATTTGAAGTCGTCAAATCAGCAACTCTGGCAGGAAGCCCTGGCCGCTCGCGAGCGCCACAAGAAACAACAGGACACGATCAATCGGATTCTCAAGTTCCTTGCTGGAGTGTTCGGACAGGGGTCCGCCCCCAAGCATGACGGTAGCCATAGTCCTCCCGCAATGATGCCGCGCAAGCGACAGCGCCTGATGATTGGCGATATGGACAGGATGGATGGGAAGGCGCGCGCTGTGGAGATTACGGATGTCGACGATGAAGAGGATGAGGAGATGCATTTACGGAGTCCGACCTCGACGGATCGAGGGCAGTCGCCCTTTGCAGGCAGTGAGTGTCGTTTTCGCTGATGATTACTCATTATCTTACACATCGTAGTTCCAATGGCGACTATCACCACGCCAATGTCCACAGAGAGCACCTTCTCGCCTCCCGCGACCGAAGCTTCTCTGGGTTACTTGAACTCTGGCGCTCATTCGGGCCGCAATGGATCCGGGCCCACGACTCCGGTCCTCACACCGGCGAACGAACAACCAAGAGGTATCCCGAGCCTTGGATCGCCCCATGTTTCTGGACCTGACAAGCAGCTCGGTATGAACAGCCACTCTGTCTCCCAGCCTAACGGGACGCCGTCGTCCAAGCAGCCGACGTCACCCTTGGATACGTTCCCCAGTCAGCCTCAGCAGGAACAAGGTATCCCCACTTCGTCATATAATCCCTCGACAATCACCTCACTCACGGCATCTAACAACGCCAACTCGGACCCTGCGATGATGCAGGCCGCTTTCCAGCAGATGCTCAACCAGCCTGCGCAGGTCCAGCGGTTCTTCCAGGCCTTGGCCAATGGCCAGAATGTGCCTGGCTACCCCATGTCTATGGACCCCGGGCAGCAATCACCGTACGGCAGGCCTACCTATAACGGGCCCCTGGATTCGCAGACACAGCTGCAGCAATACCGGCTGCCTACCCCAGGACTGTACCCACCCCCGCCTCAACCGGAGTCGTCGCAACTGCAGAGAATGGACAATTCAGGTATCGTCGAACCGCTGATGCAGAGTGCGGATCGGCTCGCTAAGACTTATAAAGATGCGGCGGAGATTGACGCGGATGTGGATGCGCTGCAGACGAGCATCTATTCCCTGATTGAGAACCTAGGCTTGGACCCATCTGTGCTCAACACCCACCCCGCGCAGAGGGTCAACGGTGGTGTCTCACCTCATATGAACGGCGTGCATACTAATGGCGTGCATGTCAACGGCGTCGGCGTGAACGGAGTTGCGCAGGACCACCGGCCTGACTCCGTGTCGATGCCCCCGCCCAACGGCCACATACATTTGAACGGCATGAACGGGGACTCGTCTGGGAATCAGGACTTCGACTTTGAGTCGTTCCTGACGGAGTTTTCGAGGGACGGCGCCGATGTGAACGGCGACTACGGCGATTTTGCTGAGAAGTTGGCGAATCACACGCCGGGCATCAACGGGAACCCCGCCGTGCAGGACGCGTCGACGGAACAGCTGACCGCGTTCCTCGACGAGGTTGCGTCGAACGCGTCGAACCCCTCGGATGGCACCGCGCCTTCGCCAGTCGGGTCATCGATGCACTCGCCACAGCTGCGCGCGGCGAACGCGTCGCGGCCGAAGGCGGGGCAGAAGAGGAAGTCGGATTCTGCGCTGATGTTCGTCGATCAGACGCAAGCAACGGTGGATGGGTCCACGGGTGGCGGGACGAAAACCAAGCGTAAAAAGTGATTGCAATTGGATGCTGGGCTGGGGCTTGGGTTTAGGGATTTGGGGTGTGGACTTACTAGAAGTTCCAGTAACTGTATTACGTGCTGTACTGTTTTACTTTATATTTGCCCTGCTGTTAGTCATCTGCATTGTACAGTAATGAATTCGCCAATAACATTATTGCACTGGACCAAGAGAAGATACGACTTTGGAAGCTGCAAGTTCAGAAGTTGAAGGATATGGTTCTGAAGAAAAGGCGTAGTGATCTACTACACAAGGGATCTACAAGCAAGCCGACAAAACAGAGAAGGTAACTTCCCTATGTTGACTTCTCGTCGGACTTACTGCTGTCCTTTGTCTTCTCCTTCTCATCCTTGTCCCCCTTCTTCGCGTCAGCCTTCGAGGGCTTCTTCTCCTTCTCGTCCTTCCCCTCCTCCAACTCCGCCCGCCCGATAGTAGCCTTGTTATCCACCAGCGCATGCAAGGCGATCACAGCACGTAGCAGACTGCTGAGGTACACAACCAGCAGCTCGTCATTGGTGCTCGTGGCGAAGCTTGTCGTTAGTGTCGGGTCGGACAGGTCGGGGAGCAGGTTCAAGGCGTCTTGGAGGTGGTAGACGATTTGGTGGTTGACGGGCATGGTGCCCGCAGCGACGTCCGCTAGGTAGGCTTGGAGATCGCCGAGTCGAGATGCGAGGCCACGGAGGGAGGATAGTTGCTCGCTGACGCGTGTGGAGAGGGTGGTCGTGGTCGAGTCCTTGATGTCTCGCAGTAAGTGCTCGACGCCGATTTCTTCTGCCTCTTCTGCCTCGATAGCTGAGGGAACGTGCAGGAATGTTTTCCGCACTTCCGTGCCATCCTGCGGTGTATAGGTCGATTAGTAATCACCCAACAGGTGTCGCAACACTCACGTCCTTGATCTCCTCCACAGCAAAGTACGCGTCCGTCGGGATGTTCTGGTTCTCTGGTCGCACATCGACAATGACCATGACTGGCCGCGCAATATATCGCTTGAAGAGGTCGTTGATCTCATGGTCCGAGGCTCGTAGCTTCGGACCAGAGTGGTACCAGCCGATCATACGTTCCCGAGCTGCATAGACCCTTCAGTTCCGCTTGCCTGACACGCCACGCCGACTCACGGACCGTTGACCTTTTTAAACATTTCCCACATCTGCTCGATGTAGTTGTGGTCGAGGAACCACGTCTTCGGGTCCTTCTCATCCTCCTCGAAGGGGATGGCGAAGGAGTTCGCGACGTTGATGGTCTTGCCGTTGTCCTGGCCGAGGAGGACGCCGACTACGCGCTTCGAGGAGCCTCTTGAAACGCTGCGGGCATGGTGGTCGGTCACGGAGAGCAAGACCAAGGGATGTACGACTGAAGCAAGTCAGATTGAGCCGCTTGAATACGTTCAAGTCAACGTACCGACTGTTGTTCCGCTCAGCGCATTAAGCTTTCATACTGCATGCTCAGCATCAAGCAACGTAGCGCTACATACCAAGCTCACCTGTTCTGAAGTGCTGCCGACCATTGTAGCAAATAGAGGTGTGTTACACGAGAGAGACTTAGACTGGACTCGGACGCGTCAGTGCAATGATGAAACGCGCGTATGGCTTGCTTGTCACTGTTTGTCCCCTTCCTCTCTGGGCCATCGTACTTCGCCTCAGACTCGGCGCATCACTTTGACGCTCTCCTTTATAATCCTCGGCCATGGCTACACTAGTTGCATCGCAGACGAACGGGCTCAACGGCGTCAACGGTGTCAATGGCCATGACGAGGCCAAACCGAAGACAAAATTCGCCTCGAAGAACCAGCTGCGTCGCGCAAAGCAGAAACAGAAGAAGGCTCAGGAAAAGCAGGTCCGTGTGTCTGGTATACACTCATTCGCACTTGCTGACAAGGACGTCCAGCAGCCAAACGGCGATGCTGCTGAACAGAAGAAAGAGTCGCCACCACTGAAGGTGGAGGAGGATGAGCAGAAAGTGAATGCTGCGTACGTACCTGAGCCATTGGATATCAAAGACCCCAGCCTCGAAGCATTCTCCAACGTATTTGCCCGCTTCCAGCTTCCCCCTGACGAGAGCGAAGTGAGTGGCGGCGCGTATCTGGCATTGGAAGGTCTGTCTCATGCTTGTTTCCCCGCCCTAGCAGAGTAAAGATCAAGACCCCTCCAAGGGCGAGGTCATCTACTCCGACGACGACATGGCCTCGGAAGGCGACTCGGACGAGGAAGGAGAGAAGAAGCCGCTGTCGAAGAAGAAGGCGCGGAAGATGAATAGGCTCACCGTGGCGGAGCTCAAGCAGCTCGTGAAAAAGCCGGAGGTGGTCGAGTGGTGGGACGTCAGCGCCTCCGACCCGCGGCTCCTTCTGCACCTCAAGAGCTATCGCAACACTGTTCCCATTCCCGCGCATTGGAGTGCAAAGCGCGACTATCTGCAAGGGAAGCGCGGTATCGAGAAGCCCCCGTTCCAGCTTCCGTCGTACATCGCCGACACTGGTATTGCGACCATGCGCGACGCGGTGAAGGAGAAGGAAGCAAATATGACGCTGAAGCAGAAGACGCGAGAGCGCGTGCAGCCTAAGATGGGCAAGGTGGATATCGACTATCAAAAGCTGCACGACGCGTTCTTCAAGTTCCAGACAAAGCCGCCTGTCACTGGTTTTGGTGAAATGTCAGTCGTGCTAGTCGATCTCGGTATATGTTACTAATTTGTGACGTTGCGCACAGGTACTATGAAGGGAAAGAGTTTGAGACACAGCTCAAGCACAAAAAGCCCGGTGATTTGTCGCCTGAACTCGTCGAGGCGCTATCGATTCCTCCACTGGCACCACCGCCATGGCTTATCAGCATGCAACGATTTGGACCTCCCCCAAGCTACCCTACATTACGGATACCTGGTCTCAATGCACCCATTCCTGAAGGGTACGTCTGAGTTGTGGTAATCTCCGTTCTGATAGCTCACGAGTACCGTTGACAGCGCACAGTGGGGCTTTCATCCAGGTGGATGGGGTAAACCTCCTCTTGATGAATACAACAGACCGCTGTATGGTGATGTCTTCGGTGTCATGCCGAAGATCAGCGATACGGACGTATGTACAACACACAGTATACTGTGGACCCCGATTGCTGACGGTAACGTACTCGTAGGTCGGCGAGCCCGTGGACAAGAACCTGTGGGGAGAACTGGAACCCGAGGAAGAGGAAGAATCCGAGGAGGAGGAGAGCGAGGAGGAAGAGGAGGAGGAGGAAGCAGCCGAGCTGCCGTCTGCAGAAGGCATGCAGACACCCTCTGGCATGGAGACCCCTTCTGGTATGACCAGTGTCGTCTCCACTGTCGCCGGGGGCCTCGAGACGCCCGACTTCTTGGAGCTGCGGAAGAACCAGAGAGCGCCGTCGGAGGCGGCGGATTCGGGACCAAAGTCGCTGTACCAGGTCGTGCCAGAGAAGCAGACGGCGGTCAGGGGGCTTATGGGGTCGGAGAGGGGGTACGATATCAGTGCTGTTGCCGGGGCTGGGGCGAACGTGCCTGTTCTTGGAGAGGAGAGAGGGACCAAGGTTAGTTTAGCTCGTCCCTTGCTTGATTCGCTCTCTAACTTGTTTTCCTGCAGCGGAAAGCCAACGGCGTCGATATTTCACTGGATGCCTCCGAGCTGGAGGGTCTCTCAGAGGACGAGCTCCGGAGGAGATACGAGGCCCAATCGAGAGGCAATGCTGGTGTCCCGGGCTCGAAGGAAGATTTCTCGGACATGGTGGCAAAGGAGATGGCAAAGAAGAAGCAGAAGATGGACAGGGACCGCGAGAGGAAGGGCGGAAAGGAGTTCAAATTTTGATCATACTGTGCCTTTCTCTGCTCTGCTAATCTCTCAGCTGATCCTCCGGTTGCGTTCCTTCTCCGTGTTTGTGTTTAATGTCTATCTTATTTCTTGTACGAATATCATCGTCGTCGTTGACTCGCCAGCCCTTGCCGTGTAACATGTATGAGCACATATAACCGGCAACGCGCGCTAAACACAGCCATCATACAACCCTGGCTGTGCCCCCAGACGGCGTGCCTTGACGCTTACACGCTAGCAAGCGCTCGCTATACTGCCTACATAAAGTTCGGGTCTGGCGGGCGTCCCGCTGCATCTACCCTCTTCCTCTCTGCCGTGCGCGACCGGGGAGCGCGATGTCGCAGGCCAAGCTGTGCGGGCGACTTACCTTCATTTACGGCCTGCGGATGCACTGACGGGCGTGCACTTACAGAACACTCCGGCCCCCGCCAAATGTCGAGTTCGTCTCGGGTGAGCGTGGAAGCGTCATCAGGAAGTCTGTGGGTGACTGACGCGCAGGCTGATGTGCCTTAGGATACCCTGGTATACCGCCCTCTGCGCCGGACAGACCACAAGCAGCGGTCAAGGGGGTACGTGCTGTCCGACGTTGTGATGCTCTAACACTTATGCTGGCACATTGACTTAGACGCTGGAGCTACGTGTGGGACCGCAGGGGATCAAAACGAAGTGGGTGCGCATTGAGCTGAGGAAGGTGGAGACGCTGCCTGGCGGGGGGCAGGTGAACACATTCTACGACTTTGTGGGGCAGAGCCCGATCAATCTATGGCAGTCGTCGGAGGATTATGGGATCTTGCATACGGTGCGTCGCAGTGTTGATGTTTGGTACTGGTGGGCATTGAGAGGGGTTGTGGGTGCAGCAAGACTTTCCGTTCTATATCCGCATACCAGAGTCTATCCCGCCTAGCCTCGCCCTCGAGAAAGGAGGTGAGTATGAGTGCGTTCAAACGGTTTGATTGCGCCTAACATACATCAGCTGGTATACGGTACGAATTGGTTGCGATGGCATGCCTCAAAGGCAAGAGGTATGTACGATGCGGTTCCCCCTGGTTTCGGTTGCAACGGAATACCGAATTTACATCGTGTCCTGCAGGGGATTCTTCCGCCGGACCAAGGCCGTTACCATCACAACAATGTCACCGATCGTGATTGACAAGCATGAGCTTCACTCGACATGGCCCATCTACTGTCAACCCGAAATCCGGAACGTCACCCAGGACGGTGTGATACTAACTGTCGAGCGCAGCAACACCTGCTACGGGCCCGGCGACCGCGTGTCGGTGTTCGCCACGGTGAAGTCAGATACCCTCCACACAATCATCCTTCGTGGTTTTGAATTCGCGCTGAGAGAGCATATGGTCTTCCGCGCGGGTGCGCAGGCGACTGGCAAGAAGGCCAGTCCTCAGGTTAGGGTGTCGGTCATTGGAGAGCAGAAAGTACCCGTCAATATCACGCTCTACGGAGGTACGCAGCACAGGGCGGAGTTGACGTGCACGATTCCGCAGAACCATACATCAGCGACTCTCAATTCTGCAAGGCATATTGACATTACGTATCACCTGGGTGTCAAAGTGCTAATGGGGACGGGCAAGCCATTGATCATGGATTTACCAGTCATCGTTTCGAATTGGCCGAGGTTAGTGGTCTTATGTCTGGACAGGACATTTTCTTATGTTTCTGTTATAACAGGAACGTTTCCGCTGAAGCTGTAAGGTAAGACACATCAACTACGAGGACAAACAACGGGAAGACTGACAGGTCCACAGACGTATAGGCCCAGCACCAAGTCTATCACTTGCCCCGGCCAACCCAGCCAGCATGGTTGCAACACCAGGTGAGTCATCATCTGGATATAAGCTCTTTCATTCTGCTTACCTTGTTCGCAGCGCAAACTATGAGGGCGCAATCTTCAGCATGGACCCTGAACACCGAACGGAATCCTCAAAGGCCAGATCCGAGAGCGTTCAATACCGCTCCCGTCAACGGATATTCTTCACCACCTCACACCGCCGGTGTAGATGAACTCGGCTTCAACCAGCTCGGAGGGCTGAACGGGATTGCATCAGTGGCATCCCGAGACGGCCCGCCCTCTACCGGTTACAGCGGAACGGGCATGCCGTCGCCTGATGCTCGGAGACCGCGGTCGGGCAACTCGGTCACAGCGAGCACGCACCGCTTCACGATCAGCAATCCGAATGAGCAAGATTTGCGCGAGTTTGGGCGGACGAACTCGTATGCCAGGGTACCCGCGGCGAAAACGTGGAGCACTGCAGAAGAGGAGAAGCGGCGCCTGTATGAGAATGCTGTCAAGCAGGTCGAGAGGACGCAAGGCAGGGCTAATAGTCCGCCAGGACCTCAGGCTCAGGTACGTTCCGTATTGCGCCTCTCTGCCTGCTCTCTGATTTGAGTTATGCATCGCAGATCACTCCTAACCGAGTGAAGCATACCGATGCCGGTCCTCTCATCCCAGCAGACGTCGTCCCATCTCGTGGGTCAGGCTCTCCTTGGGAAAGAGCGGAAGAGGAGAAGGTCCGACTGTACACACAAGCGCAGCTGAATGCAATGAAGCACCAGGGATACGAGGCCTATTCACCGCCCTCCACCGCCAATGGTACTGTCCCCGCTTCTCCACGGCACGGCCATTCCGGGTCAGTGAACTCTGTGGGCGCTGCTGCTGCGGGGCTTGCCGGCATGTCGCCCGGCGCTGCTCTCTACATGCAGACCATGTCTGAAGTGAACAGATCCCTCTCGGCGCAGTCGACTACTAATGGAGCGGCCGCGTCCAGCTCTGCAAGGGCTTCGCCTCCTGTCCACGCCCCAACCCCCAAATATCCCACTGCTGAACAAGAGAAAGATATGCTGCGTAGGTACAATGAAGCGAAAGCTGCTGTGGAACGTCGTGAAGCGGTTGAAGCGGCCAATGAAGCACCTCCCTACGATGCCCCTCCCCAGGTCATGTCTCCTCCAGTAAACGGGACTACCCTGCCTCCGGCTTTCGACGATGGCCAAGGCCAGGTTATGTCTCATATTGCAGAGAAGGAGCGGTTGCGTAGACACTTTGAAGAGCAGGACGCGGCGGCGGCCGCGGGGTCCTCGAGCAGTGGGCCAGAGGCGCCAGCCTATTCTCCACCTCCCGCTGGGCCCTCGCAACCTGCTGCCTCTTCCAGTGGTAACGCGCCGTCAGAGAAAGAGCTGCTCCGTAGGAGATTCGAGGAACAGGACGCGGCTGCTATGGCTGGACGAGCGCCGCCCCTACCCCCTCCGCGTGCGAACTCTATCGGTCAACGGCAGAGATCGCCACCGCCTCTCCCACCGACGTATGGCGGCGCTAATCGGCCTTTGACGGCTGCTGAGGAGAAGGCGCTTCTCAAGGCTCAGTATGAAGCCGAGGACCAGGGTGCTGGTTCCAGTGTAACTGTTCCCGCCGCTGCAGGACCCTCTACCTTCCCGACCCCCAACGTTGATTCCCTACCCCCTCCACCTCCATTGGCTCCCCGCCCTCCCGTGGAGTACATCCAGGAGACGCAGGAGGAGGACGCCCGGCTCCAGGCCGAGCGAGCTTCTGTTGTGCCATCCGTAGTGCCATCAGCAAGCATCAGTAGGGCGACTTCCGTGGCTGTTGCGGCTCCCAGCTCCCCTCAACCAAGTGCTGCAAATAACTTCGGCCTAGACTTCAGGCCTTTCTCTCCATTCCACCTACCCTTCGGTTCCATCGAGGAAATGAACGCCCATTCTGCGACCCCGCCCCCGCCGCTGCCTCCCAAAGTACCCCTGTGATTTTATAACATCTGCCGTCATTCATTTATTGTTCCTTGCTTCCAGTTCATGCCCATCTCTTATTTATTTGCTGTCCAGTGTGAGTACCGACCGGAGTATCTAAATTAATGCTTGGTGTAATGCACTCTAGGCAGAAATCTGCCACTGCTTGCCGCTGATGTTGATGGTTTCGCTAAGCTGAGATGGTCGTCTCTGTATAATGGTTCAACCATGGTAAGCTTTTACTGTAATCATCGTACTCGGAGAAGATATTTACGTGAGTCAATCCTTTGATTCTAACTGCATTCAAATGTCCATTCATCAATAGAAGGTGTTCGCCATTGCTACGTCTTTGATCTAGCTGAACCTGCACTATGGAGCCCACCGGCGATGCTGCGATTGTGGAGGGCTGCCGCGTCCAAGCCAAGCTCCTCAAGCCGAACATCTGAATCCGACAACCGTGTATGACGGATCTGTTTTTGTTCACCGATGTCAGGAGCACGCATGCCCCGCTTCGACCTTATCAGATATGTTGCCTCTCAATGACAAGGGTTCAGCGTTCTCTGCAAGCTTCCCTTGGAGCGCTCAACTTCATTGGATGCTTTCTTTGGGCCATGTCGAGAGGATCCCTTATAATAAGTGACACTGCCATGTACCAATGCCCTGGGCAAGCTTCTTTCGAGTCACCTAGGCGGTCCTGGGGATAGAAGGCGAGTGAGGGGTCCTGCACTTGCTTTGTCAGAGCCCGTATAATCGGCCCATAGTCTTCCTCTCACTCGTCGGGATGACGTGCAGGTTTTTCTGGCCACTCCTCGGTTGTGGCACAAAGTCGCATAGATTTAATGTGGCCCCGGTCGCCGACTACACAACTGTCCCATTTCGCAGGCTATCGGGACTGGCGGATGGCCAGTAGCAGCTGTTCTGTTTGGATGCTGTCGACAGCTTGTTGCACCCGGTGTTTCTCTCACCGTGATGTCTTCTCACAACTCTGGGCGACTCATTGCTAAATCAACACTGCGTTCCGAGGAGGCCAACCTGCGACATTCACATATCCGCCGCAATGATACTTATAGGGGTCGATACCAGTGCAAGTAAGCTCATATAGAGCAGTCACCGCGCCCACGTGCGGTCAAGATCATGGGTGCAATCTTCGGCGCACAGACTACTTACCGTAAGCATCAACGTTCAAGAATAGCTTCTCCCACTGCAGTTGACAGATTGTCCTACCATTGGCTCCTTGGAATATCAGTGCCCAAAATTGGACAATATAAGCGTCAGATGCGGACGTCTATTATGCAGGCACCGTATTCTCGGTTTCTGCATAGCTTCACTGTGTACCGCAAGCTCTCATGGTATCTTCGTTGGGGTGAGCATATAGAAGTCCTCACGCCATCCCTCTGACTCATCAATAGATTGATATAGTCAGTGAGCACGCGCTCAAACACCCATCAAACCTGCGGACCACAGGAGGTCGAAGCTCGACTTCTGCCTGGAGTGATGTTAGTGGACACAAACCACTATCGCGGGTCCATCTGTCACTGCACAGTGCATTCGCTATAAAGGGTTGAAGCCGTCGTATCCCCGATATGCTCCCCGTCTACCTCTGCGACCATGTCAGTCGCTGAAAATCTAGGGGGTAATGTGTTAATCTGCATGTTCATCGCCGCTGTGTGAGTGTCGATACTACAGCCTGTGCCGGCCTTTTTATACAATTGACTGGGATGGTGTTAGTCTCAATGGGGTGACATTGACACAAGCACTCTACTACTATCAGACCTATCCGGATGACCGTCGATCATTGAAACTAGTGGTAAGATCATACCCTCTCTCTCCTCGGAACGTAATACTAATCAAAGCGTGCTTAGGTCGCTGCAATTTCGTAAGTTTCCCAGCAACCTGCGTGCATGCTCGCCTGAAGTACTCTCAAAGTGCGCTTGAGTCGTTACACACGGTCTTCTGCGTTACCTGGGCCTACGTGTATCTGATCAAGCACTTCGGGCATCCCGATATCTTTGACCATATATACTGGTGCGAGCCTCTATGCTGGTCCCCCCCACTCAGTGTTAAATGACGGGGTTTGAAATACAGGACAATCTCGGTGAGATAGTCGTCTCTGAAGAAGTGGATCTGGTATATTGAAATCTGGATTGAATTAGACCACAATCGTAATAGGTGTAAGTCCCAAGATGATACGGTTTAAGATACTTTATCTGAAACAGATCACAGATAATTGTCGCCGGAATTGTCCATTGGTGCGTTGTTTTCAAGTCGGTCGTCTGTGTTCTGACGTGAAGCCATCGAAGTTACTACGTACGACGGGTCTGGTACAGTGAGTAATAAGGGTCGTTATTTCTGCAGTGTGAGCTGACGTTGATCTAGTGAGTAACCAGAACAAGCCTCTGACCGCCTCGATCGTAAGTCGGCAGTATGCCTTCCAATTATGATGTCTTACACCGCGAAGGCATTGCTCGCTATCATGAGATTCGGTAAGCTTCATGATCTCCCTGTCGAGTGACACGGACCCTCTATCTCATCTACTCTTTTGTAGCTTTCGGGATGAGTACGTACCACTAGCAAGTCCGTTTAAAGTGGAAACTGACCTCGACTATGTAACAGCTGTCGCGATTCTTTGGTCTGTATGCGTTGCATGTTCGTGTCCCTGAGACTGATTTCGAGTATTACAGTTACTATATACCATACTGGAGTACCTTCAGGATGCACAAATATTCAGACGTAAGCGCCCAGTTGTCTCAATACGGGTGGTACATAGAATCCTCGTGGCCTACAGGTGACTGTCGGGTTGGCTCTTAGCAGCGCGGCAGCGGTCGATATATTGGCCGCAATCTCCCTGATCTACTACCTGCATACGACTCGCCCCAGCTCGAATCTGTCGGTAGACGCCAAATTTAGATTGTAACACAGATGTCTGAAGTCTCGTTCTGTTATAGAAAGGACAGCCGCGTCAACATGCTGACGGTGTACATTATCAACACTGGCCTCATCACTAGGTAAGTGCTATCGTAGCCTGTGTTCGGATATCATGGTTGATGAAAGTTGCAGTATCTTCTCACTTCTAATTCTTGTCACGGTGCGCCTCCTCCATCTATACCCTGTATAAAGGCCCCTATATGCCTGTTCCGCCTTCATTTTAGTTCATGGCTCTACATTCAAACCTCGTGTTCCTGGCCTTCATCGAAATTCAAAGTAGACGTAGGTAAATGCGCAATCAGAGGCGCCTCTACTGACTACCGGGGGCGCAGTCTACGCGAATTCGTTCCTTGCCAGGTGATAACGACTATCATATGCCACACCTCCCCAGAACTCATAGCATGTCTAGCCTCAATGCCCGCCAAACGCTGAGGAACAAGGGTGTCAACGTCCAATTCTCTTCCTACGATTTTGGTGACAAGCCAGGTTCTCCTACTCCAGTATGTTTACTCTCCCCCCCCCCCCCATCATGACATAGGAGCGCATCTAACGCTCCCTCAAGGCTCGCATCCGGGTCGTGAAGGAGACTGTCAAGACTATTGACGAGGTGAGAGGCTTGACCTGTACCGATTGTTCACCTGATGCGCCAACCCACGATCTTCAGCCGTCGGAATCCCCTCATGAGAGGGGCGAGTCCCTGGTGAGTCTATCTTGAATACGAAGAAGGCCAAAGATCACCAACTTGTCCTAAACTAGTTGTTCAAGACCGGTATTACAGAAGATAGCGCTTCCGATCTGAATGAGAAGAACTCCGAACTCAAGATAACTCTGAGCAGTAATATCTGACCGCCTGTGGTATTGAGCCTTTAGCGGTACCCGCTGTCTATCTATCATCCTCTTTGATTTTCAAGTCTATTCTATAGTATGTAAATTCGCAGATCGCTACCGTATTCAAGTCGGCAACTTTGGTTTGTATAGCATGAGCTAGCCGTCCCATCAGTACTATGTACAGTGTTGTGCACGTTGTATATCAACTCTGCCCCTTATTGTTTCGTGGATGATGTGACGGGCGATGTATTTGTGACTGACCGTGCCGACTCTGGCTTCCATCCCGGACGGTTACGGATCGCAGCTCAGCTGGGTTCCGACTCCCCACGAAAGGCCGCCGAAGCAGGCCAGTGCAACTACACCAGCGGCAGTTATCGCGGCGCAGATGCATGATACAGTAGAACGATGAACGATGAAGCTTTATGACACTACATATATACACATTGTCCATCGCAACATCTTACAGGCGGTAAACCGAGGTAATTATCATTCCAGCTGATCAATATCAATGGATCCTCTGCTCCTTAATCCTGTAAAGCTTTGTATGCTTCCTCGGTCCAGATGTAGCCCCCGCCCCTTCCTGATGTTTCAGTAAGCTGTAAGGCGAGCTGCGCGCACTCTTCGTCCATCTGTTCCTGGCTACCTCCTACGATCGCGTTCTCGAAGTCGATCACCTTCACACCTTGGTCAGTAACTATATAATTGTGCCTGTTCGTGTCACCGTGGAGGATGCCCAGCGCATGCAGACGCTTCAAAGCGCTCCGACAAGCATCAAGGTCTTCGATGCCAGCCAGTCTGCCTTCTACCTTCTCCAATAGGAGGCCCATGACCCGACCTTCTTCTGCCAAATGACCAAGGAACTGGGGTGCAATGCCGAGACCGTCGATGGTTTTATAAACAGCGGTCTCTTGCTCCACGTATTGGAGCTCCCATTCGAACCGAGCAATCTTCGCTACAGCCAGTTTCGACCCATATTGCGCTACCCGAACGCGAAAAGAGAGACGGTCCTTGAGGGTTAGAGATAGTATTTCGATGCAATCAGGGTGCCAAGTAGCCGAGAGTCCTAGTAATTTTCTGCTCGAAAACTCTATAGTGGGCTGTGCTTTGCCAGGCTGGCGGAATATACGAGCACAGGTCCAATCTCCCGGCGGTAGCTTCGGAAGCTCATGAGGACAAGGGAAATCGAGCACGTCCTGTTCGTACGTCCCTGGTTCGATGGTGATGTATTTGACCTGGCGGCCTATTTCGATGCGATATTCGTGTTCGTACTGGTCGCTCGGTTCGACTTCTTGGGACAGGATAACCCAGTCGTGCTTCCCACGTTCGTCTCGCTGAAAGCGCTGTTGGGCACTGATGCATTTAGTCGTAAGGATATGATGCATACCTGAGGATCTACAACGGTATCCATCGTGATCTTATGTTTGTAGAGCAAGAATGGGCTGTATGTACGCCACTTATATATCTTCGGTCGACCGATATAGCCGGGAGGTGGCGCGAGTTCATTGGGTCGCCGAGGCAGTGATTGATCATCCTACGGAAGCATAACTGTTAAGGAACGCCTCGTGGTTGTGCTTGGATCTTCATCAAGCTTGCTTCCATCACTAACCGCCCTTCCGAATTGTCTGAAGACGGATAAGACCATCGCTGCGTACGCCGTCAACAACATTTATCACATCCATGCCGGCGACGTCGAGGTGTACCACATAAAATATTTTCATATAAGACAACTAGATTACAACGGTGGAACGTGATTGGAATTAATTCATCAGATCAGAAAAGTTGACACTGTTGACAACGTCCAGAATCAAATAACAGAAGTCAAGAATCAAACAACAAAATGCTCATATCGTTCCGAGAGGTCGTTCCAGTCGCGCCTGCACATGTGGCGTATAAGCAAGGTCCACTGGAGTGAAGGTTCGGCCGTACCTGTTATTACGGACGCATCTTCACATTGCCCTGGTTATGGGTCACCATGTGCTTCCTGCAATAATTGGCGGACATTCGCACTAGCTGCCTAGTTATCTGGCGATTTTCGCATTTAATGTTTGAGCCGTGGCCGTCTTTCCTGGTCGCACACTGGATAAACTCCAAGTTCTGCATACAGCCACAGGTATATTTCATGTATTGTTGAGTACACACTGGCATTAATGAGTCAATACCAGGTCACGCAGGGAAGAAGCACAACGAATCTCACTTTTCACGGATACAAGAGCTTAGTCTTGTGTTATGAGGCAGGGACAAAGTGAGCTGAAAGTACGGATTGGAGAGACAGAAATTTCTTTCTGGCAAGCATCTGAGCGGGTCGGGACCCTTTTATAAAGCCATGGGCGCCACAGCACCGGTGCCGCAGTAAGGAGGGAATGACCACACATTGGACTGTCGGACCCACAAGTCAGCACTACAGGCGTCTAAAGGTAGCAGTCTGCTCGCCTGCTATCACTACAGCATGACCAGGCAAATGGCTGTTGTCGAGTTGAGTCAGAAGAAGCAGCACGAAGGGAAGGATCGTGGAAGTGTATACCTGTGAATTCGCATGGGAGGAGGCCTGCGCAGGTCAGTGAACCGCGAGGGCAACAGCAGTGAATGTGGCGTTCACTCGTACGCCACAAAGAAGCATATCGTCCGCGAGGAGAGCAGTACAAACCTTATCGAAGTGACTCTGCACGCTTCTGAGCCCAAGGTATTGTTATATCTCGGGCAGGGACGCACTAATGTACTGAAGAATTGCCAGACAGGGAAACCCAAGTGATCGGCGAGGCGGCGTAGCCGAAGCATCCAGCCGTCCCTGAAGTGCTTCTAGCAAATCGTTGGAAGACTCAGACGTCTAAGCCTTGATCATGATGGGTATCCAGAGATTCAAGGCCATATCCGTGCCGCTGGGTGCACGACAATTGAGCCATGCGTATCATTCCCGTAGCGCGAGCTTACATTGCCTCGTGTTGTCTTCTGAGAGCACTGACTCGTCAAGAAGGCCGGGCGATCTAGTGAAATACGGATAAAACGTACGGAGTATACGCCACATACCTCAGCACACCGAGAAGGCTCGAGGAGCACACAGCATCCTAGCATTGCTATTTCCCGAAGAGCGTTAGTCAAATTGGTGGTAAACGGTCCGAAAGGAAGATTGCCTGCCTCTTAGTGGTACAGAGCCTACACTAAAACGAGAATCTGCAGAAGCCGACGCCACAAGGACAGTCATAAAAATTTATTAGCCGTTCCTGTATGCCAATTGCAGTGCAACATTCCAGCAGGCTCCATAGTTTCCATACCGAGGTCTGGATAGCTACAAGGTACCAGCCTAGTCATCCGTGGCGTTCCGGAATTACGACTCCCCAAAGGTTACAAAACGTGTTAGCGAGGCTGGCGAACAGCGGTGGGATATGAGACTACCTCCTTGAGATGTCTGCGCTCCAAGGGGACACCTACGCTCCCCGTGAGGGAGCCTCACGAACGGGCTAATCCCGAAGAGAAAAATGCCACAAGCGTAAGTAGGGGCAGGCTTCGGCTCGCTGTCAACGATACAGAGTTTCACATGCCCGGGCATTCCCCGAACCATCCATTACGAGCGGAGACGCCTTTCGAAATAGCGCTAGTACTCCATCTCCGCGAAGGGGCGTGGACGACTGTGACAGTGGCTTGTATCTGGCTCACGCGCCCCCAAGTCAGCGGCTGCGTTAATCAAACTCTCGATTATTATTCATTCATTGAACACGTACCAGCGATGAGGCATCATATGGGTTCGCTGTAGAACTCCTCAAAACATTTCCAGTATATCGTTTCTCACCTCTTGCACCGTTACACCCATCACCACGTACCCGAGCTGCGACCGGCTGCCATTATTGCATTGCGTCACAGAACTGCTATTGCGCAACACTTGCTTGGGATAGACGATTCAAGAGTAATTGATGTGAACGATCTCTGTTGAGTCTTTAGAGCCGTCATGACAATGAGTCCGGAATAAACGCAGTCACATCGACGTCCACATACATGCCCCTCCTTTGGGAGGGGTTCTGGCACCCTTGAATTCCGTCGCACTTTTCGTCGCACCGGCAAAATCCGGCGTGCTATGTTTGGCCCTAGTGGTGCCACTATTGAACAAGGACTTGGCACTTCGGGAGTTGCAGTATTTAGGGCCGGGCAGAAGATTGTACGAAAGGTAATTTCCAGCCAATTAGAGCCCGCGGAATTCCCTTTCGTACAATCTTTTGCCCGCCCCTAAAGACTGCAACTCCCGCAGTGTGGCCATGGTCGGGAATCCATCTCAATGTTCATGCTTAAGTCCCGCTCAACTATGTAATTAGTGTTGGTTTGTGGATGCCACCAGGTACAGATGAAGGCCTATTGTGAGCTAGAACTTAGAGCTACAGGGAGCGCATAGTATTAAGCATAGATCCTTGTACCTCAGAATTTTTGAGTGTTGTATGTCATGGCTTGAGAAGGATTTGAGTGTATGTGCACTCCATCTAACATGGGTATTCAATCATTCAAGTTTTCAGGGTCTCCATGCCATACATAAGTCTGTGATGGACAATTTACAAATAAGTAGAAAATCCATGTCATTCCATGTAGAGCTCAGTGAAATACCCTGAGTTCTTGGCAGCGGTTAATAACAAGCTGTAATTAACAGGTTAATTACTTGTCAATATCTCAGGGTCGGATTTCCCTTGGTTAATTACCCTGAACCGGGTATTCGGGACATGGTTGTCCAAGGAGACTCTGGGCAGTGTCGGGGTGTATCTGGTGTTTCGTGAGCGACTACAAGCCACTCTACGGAGGATGAGACAGTTATGCCACCTACTGTCCAGGCAATGAGGTTGCTTTCGTCGTGTGCCAAGCCTGGTCTCTCACGCTGCTCGATGACTTGTTCCTCACAGTACTGCTCCTACGAAGGCTTTCAAGTGCTCCAAAGAGGAGGAGAACATGTCTCTACATTTATTGGGGCCTGAGGGACGTGTTTTACGAGCACCGACTCGAATGTACTGTCGAGGACACGCAAAGTGGCCAAATGTGGCCTTTTGGTTATTGACAATGTTAATTACATGTTAATAACTACCATTTTTGTTAATAACGTTGATAACGCTGTCGAGAACCCAGCGAGAGTAATTCACCGAGCTCTAATTCCATGGCTTATGAGGCCGAACAGACTGTAAGATAAAACTATGATGTGAAGTGGATGCCAGATGTCCAAGCAACAGACATGCACCATTAGGCATTCTTGGAGAGTGGGTAAGTATCTTTTAGACTACTTAGGAGACAACAGCACAGGGCATTCTACCTGGCCCTAGATGGAGCTTGAATGAAAGAGAACCGGGAAACCTTAGGTCCCCTATATTACTAACAATATCCTTTGTATTATCTTACATGGTAGAAATAGTCTCCTTACAATGATTTGTCGACCCCCTGTAGCAGCCGCAACATCTTGAACTTAGTGCAAGTTCTCAAGGTCGATTTCTTGAACAAAGGAGGGGTAAGTTGCCGGCGCCAGACGGCGCTTCACGAGTGATGTACACTCCGCACTTTCGTAGTCCGAGTCGGATTCAACATTGGCGGGAGCCCGGACCGGGCCCACCGTCCAGCCAACGGATGTCTTTTAATTTTAAATTAGCTGTACTATCATTTGGGTAGTTTTGCAAAACTTTCTGTAAATCGACGTGTTGCGCTCAGTTCGCTGGCTTTTGCGTCAGATGTTTTTCATGGCATCGTGTAGCACCATTCTATGTACCCAAATGTGATTTTTTCGTATTTTAATACGTGGTGTAGAGGATGCTGGACAGATGCTGGGGTGTGCAGGGGGTTTTGCAAAAGTTTGTCACGCGTGACATCCCCGCGAGATCCATCACGTTTTTGTCACGATCCGCCTCTCGAAGTTTTGCAAAACAGCATCGCTATAGCTACATCCTCAATCTCTTCACAATCGGGCTGCTTGAGTAGCTCAATGTATGGTACACCAGTATAGTCCAAACAAAATCCCAGCAAAAAACCATGGAATGGGTACCAGATCTAGGCTTCACATGGTCTGTAGGTGGTTGCAAACACCCTCCTCTTCCTCCCTCTCCATGACCACTCGATATTTCCCTAAACCAACTTGACAGAGGGTATCTACTAGTCTATATCTACATGCCTAAAAAGTCTCTATTTTTTCTTTTGGCATGGAGCTCTCTAGGGGCTGCGGTAGTTTTGCAAATTTTGCAAAACTACCCAAATGATAGTACTCGCACTGGTAGTCCTACGCCATTCGTATATGATACTTAGTAGACGATTCAACAGCATCTGTGCTCATCAATAAAATACAGGGCCCAGACCACTGTGAGCAGGCGAATCCCGGGGTAGATCCTTAAATTTTGTAGTATAGATGTATTTCTGACACCCTTCTCCCGATGCATCCCAGGCCAAGCTGCCCGGTGGACTTGGACTTGGAGGTGGTCCACAGAGTACAGTCTCACTGGACGAGCGCCACCCTCTTTCTTACGACGCCTTGTTGTACATGTCCTATAGGCCATACGAGAATCGATACGCTAACAGAAGCAGCATGATACACGCTAATGCGACTGTCCAAGACAACCCTCACTGTAGTCCGTGAGTCCATAGTGTCTTTACTGATGCAAGTCCGTAGATCCATCTACGACCGCCAGGCGAGTTAGACCAGCGCACTATGCAATGGAAGGCACTGACTCACCTTCCCAGCATCGCCCTCACAACCCGCACTGCGAGACATCCACCTGGTTTACAGTCGCATCCACCCGACCAAGGAACTCCGCCTGGTTATCCGTCAATGCATTCATCGCCTCCAACGAGATATTGAACCCCTCCTCCGCATGGTCGATCGCGAGCACCGTGATGGTCTTCTCATTGTACGTCAGCTGCCAACACGTCCCGCACTGCGGCGAATTCCACCCCGCGACCGCCGCGGCGCCCCCGATGTACGGGAAGTCCGGGAGGGACCCGAAGGTCGAGAGGGACGGGTACCTGCTGAGGATGCCGTTCGGCCCGTCCGAGCAGGAGACCGTGTCGAGCGATTGGCCGCTGTTGTCGTAGGTGGTGTCGTAGGAGACGGTGTCTGCCAGTGTCAAGGGCAGGAAGGCGGCCGCGAGGGTGACGAAGGTGCGGATGAACTTCATATTGTGAGTGGTCTGTCGGTGGGGACGTTGTGTGGTGCGGAGGTTAGTAAGAACTATGCGATTGCAGCGCTTGCTGAGGGAGATGAAGTCGAGGGCCATCCATTTTATCCTCTTTCGCTGCGGCATTCCTTGACCGACCGGGGGAGACTGCACAAAGTTGCTGTACTAATTCACGGCTTCATGTTAGTCACGTCCATTCATTCGACCATCCGGCAGATAGAAAACACCCACCGGAGATTATCTCGAAACGAAGGCAGGACCTGAGTGTGAGAGAGCCAAACAGGTTTGCATGGGCTCCATCCTCCTACGTAAAGAAAGATTCTGCTTGCGGGTAAGTCTGCCCGCGACGAGAGTGAAGATCAAAAGAGAGCTTAGAGAACGACAGGATACCTCAGCGGCAAGTAGGCCTCGACGGAACCGTCGTTGCGGATACCCTCCCTGTACACTGAGCAGTTCTTGCACTTGGCGACATCGACAGGAACCCCGGGGTACACAGGTACTTTATCAACAGAAAGTCAAGCCATGACCGAGTTTGTCTGGCAGGAGCGAACAACATCATGTCGCTCCTCCTAACGCACCTCCACCGATATGGCAGCAGAGGAAAAAGACAGATAGACATAGCGCTGCGAGATGGGATGCACTCGCGTCGACTTCGAACAACCTATGGACATCACAGCTACGGACCTTGTTCAACATCGGTTCGGTGGTGCTGCCTCAGACACACACAAACATCCCGACTGCTGTGCGGAGAAAATTATGCATAAACGGGAGCCGTAGCGTATGCATAACATCGACGGACACAATAATGATACTGTTGACAGAACCATGGCGGGGGAGCAAAGAGACAGGCAGGCAGATAGATTGCATTGCGGGAATGACGTTGAAGGTCCAATGCTGCGTGAAGAGGCGGTGGCCCCAATCAACATTGGCAGGTAAAGGGAGTAAATCTATTTGACGGTGACGAAGCCTTTGCCTGAGTACCCTTCCGACGAAATACCTGCGGAAGCCAGTCGGTAAGCAAGCGATGCGTCTGGGACGGCGGAGAACAGGCAGACGCGTACCAGAGATAGGGTTCATCTTTTGCTCCTTCGCCCGCTCGTTGCTCGCCTCCTGCCATTCTCTCGTCATAGTGTTCGGTGGCTTCACCGCTGCACAAAACGACAATCAGCACATCAAAACAAAACAAAACGCCAAGAACCACGCATACGCACAGACTTGCCGGAGAGCGTAGTAGAGCAGGCCGGTGGTACCGATGAGACCGAGGGTCGCGAACAGGATCTTCACGCCGGAGCCAGGCGGGTTGACGGGCGCACGGGGACCATGGGGGCCGAACGCGACGTAGTACGCTACACACCCAGAACATCAGGACACGGCCAAACCACCACCCCAAACAAACAAACACCCGTACCAGCCTTCTTCTCGTCAATCGACAGCTCCTTCCAGTCCTTCTTCTGGATCTGCTCGAGCTGCTGGTGCACCGCGAGCTGCTCCTCGCCGCTCAGCTTCTCCCACTGCGCCTCCACGTTCGACAGCGGGATGGCCGCGGCGGGAGCTGGCGACGACGAGCTGCTGCCCGCCATCGAAGCGTTCGCGGACGTCGCGAGCGCGCGCACGCGCAGCGGCGCCGCGACTTTTCTGCGCGCCAGGCGGAGGGCTTGCGCTTGCATGTTTGTGTGCAACTAACAGGAGGGGGCGGGTATTAGGCGTGTAATAGGGTGCGTCTATAGGGACGGAGGAAGGGGGTGGGTGACGAAAATGGCGCGTGGTAAACGCCGCCCACGCCATTCGTCGACAATCCGCGCACTCGGGTCGGACCGGGACTCGTCGCCGCTGTACCGAGGCCATTCGAGGCTGCTCTCATCGTCACCTGCCTGACATTTATACGAATTATAACGGCCTGGACGCACAGCTACTCAAACATGTATTCGCTGCGAGACGACTAGTACGGACAGCAGAGCAACAATATATCGGTAAGATCGCGAGCATGCAAGAAAAGGAGAGAAACAACTAGTACAACGCGACGTCGACGAGCATCGCGGGTCGCTCATGCAGCAGCCTCCGCAACTCCGGGGCAATCCTTGGAGATATGGCTGCAGCAGGCGAGTCAGCGAGTCAACATTTCTAACAGCGAAGAGGACACTAACCCCTCCGAGCCACACGTGTAGCACGCGCGCTTTTGCGGCTGCGGGCAATCCCTGCTGATGTGCCCCTGCATACATCGTCAGCTCGGTACTTCCCTCCAATAAACGCTAGTACTCACGAAGCCAGAGCAGTTGTAGCACTTCGCGCCCTGCACGCAATCACGCGACATGTGGCCTACACCACCACAGGTGTAACTGGAACCCTCATCAGTCCATTGATTCCCATTCCCCCGTAAGATACGCACCAGGTCTTCTGCTGGCCACCAAAGGAGCCGTAGCTGCCTCCGCCGCCGTAGCTTCCACCCGGGGCCTCAGGGCACGCACGCGCAATGTGCCCGACTTTGCCACAGCGGTAGCACTCCGCGCCGGACGACGCGCCTCCGCCGTAACCCGCGTTACCGCCCGTCGCAGCGGTGTTTTGGGGGCACTCCCGACTCTGCATTCAAATGCGTAAGCATCAACACATCTCGGATTGGATTGCATGTATGCTGGTGAACTCACGATATGCCCTTCTTGGCCGCACTTGTAGCACGACTTCGGCTTGGCCTCCATCGTGCAGTCACGGGAGACATGGCCTTCGAGACCACAGTTGTAGCTATCGCAGCGCGCCCAAATCGTGAACCTCCGCAACGCCATCGCAAAAAGTGACCATTTACCATGTAGGAGTGCCAGCCTTGGGGCAGTTGGCGGCCTGGTGGCCAACTGGACACCGTGCAAGTCAACAAGAACGGGCGATGGCGGGTCGAGAACGACACGGCACGATCATTCAAATGCATATATTGATTGCGAGTCGGTAGGGTGTAAGTGTATCAATTTTGCCGTACATAGCAAAAACCCCGTCAGCAACGCTCCGCACACAGAAGAAGAATTAGAAGCTGCTCGGTAAAGCCAAAAGGCAGGAGGCGTAGTCTAGATCGAGAGCGCCCGCGAGCACCACCTCCCAGCCACGAGCAGCAACACGAAACACCACGCACATCCGCCACAGTTAAAGCATCCACGGGCACCAGCCATTGTCTCTTCTTTGTACAGTACGGGAAGTCTGAAGCGAGAGAGAACGGACGTTAGACGCGCGCTTCTGCCTTCACCGCCGTCGACGAGGCCGGCACAGAGCACGTTCTGTTGTACGTACACTTTGCGAGCGGAGGGTTGAGGGCTGTCGGTGTCGACGAGCGAGAAGAGCCAAGGGTGAGCTGCGAGCGAGGAGAGAGGGAACAGGAGAGACGCAGATAGTGCGGGGGGCGATGGCGGTTAAGAAGAAAAAAGAGCGGCCTGCAGCGCCTTACATAACTTGTTTATTGATAGCAGGGCCACGTGGACGAGCAGCGCCCGGCGCCCTACGCTGATTGGCTGGAGCACCCTGCCGGCGTACTCAAGTGCCCACATATTTTCGCAGCGGGTGGCGACTAATTATGCTCGGGAACCAGCCAGCTGACTTGCAAGTAGCGGGAAGGCTGCCAGGTGGGGAGGAGTGCAGGGCGACTATACCTGATTTACATCGGCTGGAAAACACAAAACTCAATCGTCGCGGGCGTTCCTCCGCTCGATTGCTCCGCGACCCTGCTGCGGTTGCGAGAGACGTACGAAAGAACGAAAGAGCGAAGACAGGTTAATGGCACGAGCCACGCTCGAACGGGATATATTGCAGTCTCGTTGCAGGATGCTTGAGAGTATATTTTTGCAATGTCGCGACAAGTCCCTTCTATTCTGACATGCAGCCTCCACGTGCAAGGAACTATCACGTCGTCCTCTTCTATACCGCCGCGCTACCTTTCGGCTTCTCGGTCTCCTCAGGAGGGACTAGGTAAACCTGACAACGTGCGACGACCGTCAGAACGGAGGAACGAAACGCATCAACAATGCAACACGCACCTGCTCGCCGCCCTGGCCATTCTCCCAGTGCTGGTACCGCAGAGCAGTAAGCCCCCTCTTCTCAGCCTTGACGCGCTCGCTCTCCTTCAAGGACTGGCGCAGGGCCCGAGCGCAGATCTGCGAGTATCGGTTGAAACTGTCCGCATTCATACACTCATAAGTAAACAGGAAACACTCATACCCGCAAAAAGGAAAGCAACTCACGTAAAGTGCGCACGCCAGGTAGCACTGCTCATGGTGGACGAAGGACGGTGTGCAAGCGGTCGGAGCTGGCCACGGTTGCGAGACGCTACGGGCGTCGGTCGGCGATGTCCGGCGAGTCGCGTGGCCTGACGTAATCACGTATGACCGTGTCTGCGCCTGTGGGCGCAGGGGCAAGGTATCCAGCAACGACGTCTTGTACCATTACCACTGCTTTTCCTCTTGCTTACGCGTTACACAATATTACATTGCGACAAAGCGGCTTGGGAAACCATTTTGGCGACGGCGGAGCTTGATATACACCGCGTGACGCGATGGCAGGCATTTCATGGCATTATGTGCTCAAGTTTATCATCACCGGTACGCCCTGTCCTCGTATTTCCGGAGATATAATAGATTCACAATATAACTATGTATGCCAGGCGATGCGGCAGTCGGCAAATCTTCCCTGCTCGTCCGTCTCACCGACCAGCGGTTCCTCGCAAACCCCGACCCCACAGTGCGTCCAGCCCGCATGCACCGCCTTTAGTCCCCTTACTAACCCGCTGCCTCCGCCAGCTAGGTGTTGAATTCGGGTCGAAGCTGATCACGATCCCGGAGGAGAACAAGATCGTCAAGCTCCAATGTGAGTGACCGCTCCGCGTATGTCTCCCCGCGTCTCGGCGCGCCCCGGTGCTCACATCGTCCGCGCAGGCTGGGACACGGCGGGCACGGAGTCCTTTCGGTCTATTACGCGCTCGTACTACCGCGGGGCGGCGGGGTGCCTGCTCGTCTACGACGTCACGAACCGGACGAGTGCGTAGTCCCCCCATCGCTCCCGAGCTGCCTCCGACTCACGCGTCCCTAGCATTCGAGAACTGCCGCACCTGGCTCGCGGACGTGCGCGAGCACGCCGACCCGCACCTCACGTGCATCCTCGTCGGCAACAAGGTCGACCTGTGCGCGGACGAGGGCCGGCGGCGCGAAGTGCCCACGGAAGAGGCCGAGCTGTTCGCGAAGGAGGAAGGCCTGCTCTTCGTCGAGGCCTCCGCAAAGTCGGGGCAGAACGTCCAGGAGGCGTTCGAGCAGGCCACGCGCGACATCCTCGCGAAGATCCAGCGGGGCGTCTTCGGCGACGACAGGGTAAGCTTCCTCCCTTCTCCCTTCCTTGTTTATCTGTCAGATTGAGTTCCCTCGGGCATGGACATGCGTCCGAGCTCACTTGCGTGCTGGGCGAGCGTGTGCTGATTGATCTTCGTCGTTTCGCAGTCACCTGGGGTGAAGACGTCAAAGCCGAGCAATAATAGCCTGACACTGGATCAGGGCAGCTCCAAGAGTCGATGTTGTACTTGATATCCTTATCGCTCTCCACCTTGGACGGGACACGTTTGTTGCGGCTGTCGTTGTTGTATTAATAATATCTTTGTGTATTCATCTACTCACCGGGGACATGTCAATATCGATATCAGTAGAGTACATACCGTCTATAATACGAGCGTTGTTTGGTGTTGCTCGTGACTGATGGATTACACACTAAGCTGTCAGTGTGAGATAGTGTACATAGCGATGCCTGGTTCCCATAACTTACTGGTACACACTATGTAGGACACATGTACGATACTTATTCATATATACAGTTGGTTAGGCGGGATAGAATAAATTACGACGTCCGTCCATACGTCCCATACAGTACCAGCCCTCAGACGCCTCCACGAATCCAAATCCACTGGCAGGACCCACATGCTCCATTCGAGAGGAAGACAACAGCTTCCCAATGATCGATGCATCAGCGTCAGCTCCCAGCAGCCTTGATCGAGTCGGCGTATTCCTGCAGCTGGGCCACGAAGCCAAAATTGGGCTCGGCCGCGGCGCGCTTCTCCTTCACATACTGCACCGCCTGCTGGGGCGTCCAGCCGTACTGCGCGATGAGGAACGCGGAGACGACGCTCGCGCTGCGGCTGACGCCCTGCGCGCAGTGCACGAGCACGCGCGCGTCGCCGTCGCGCAGGGCGTCGCGCACGAAGGACGTCGCGCCCGGCAGGTGCGCGGCGAGCTCCGCGAACGGGTGGTCCTCGAGCGGGATCTGCTTCTGCTGGACGGACGGCGGGACGGCCACGGCGCCGCGCATCGCGGAGAGGACGTGCGTGATGCCCAGCGCGGCGAGGAGCGCGGAGTTCTCCGCGCACGAGAGGTCGGACATGTAGAGGCGGGGGATGATCTCGGTGATGTCTGGGGAGAGGCGGGCGGGCGTGCGTGGACCGGCGGTCCTGGTCTTGGAGGGCATGTCGTGTCGTGGCCGATGGGTATAGTAGGGCTGCATGGTGGCTCGCAATAAGAATGGGTCGTGCCACACATGTGGTGGACGCACTCACCATAATACACGGCGTCCGCAGTCGATAAATGGCTCCCGAGACGAAAGGAGCTGTGCGATAGAAAATTGAAGGGCTAATAGTGTGTGGTCTGGAACAGAATGCGCGGCCTGTTATAAGGGAAAGCTGTGGCCCCGGGGGCGAAGAAGGGGGGAAAATAAACAAGAGTCTAGGCAGGATGCCACAGGGACATGGGGCGCCTCAGAGGGGCTTTTGTATTCGGGAAGAGGAGACAGCGCGCATGTAGAAATGGCGAGTTTGCGCTGAGCGGGCCAACACATCTGAAGATCACTGACCAACTTCCGACGCACAGCAATAATCGGGTTCCGGCTAGCCTCGCATCAGCCAGTCCCGACACAAACATGATCATCAGCCACTGTCGGCCTGCTCGTCCTGCAGCGCCTCATCCCGCCCCCGCGCGAGCCTGGGGCCGGGCGAGCACCTGCCTCGGGACGGAGCAATATACCTGCGCTATATGACATTCCAGATACCACAACATATCGTAATCACAGGCAATCAATGTGTGGCATTTGGGAGCGGAAACTTGCAGAGGCCGTATAATACAGCACAGCCCCGGTGTATTGTAGTCTGTCGCGGCTCCTGTCTTCCGAGCTCAGCGACGCGTGAGGTCCGAGATGAGCAGAGGGCGGGTGTCAGCGGAAATCCGCCCATTCGACACGTCTGCCAGAGAGGAGAGCCACAGTGGTGATGGTACCTGCAACGCGCTGACAGGCGACCTCGTTCCACGTCGTCCTCGGGATCACAACGACGAACGCGGAGGCGGGCGTGGGCGCGGCCACAGCTTCTCCAGGTGATAAACAGGCTCTCGGTACCGCCCAAAACTCCCATGTCCATGTCTAGCCAGGTCCGCGGCCTGGTATTTTGATAAAGGGGATGCATACTCCTAGTACATTTAGGGAGAAACAAAGACATAATAAAGACAGTAACGTAGACACGCATCGACGCTAATGTGAAACAAACAGGGGACGTCATGAGCATCGTGAGACAAGACAAAGTACTCTCGTTATGAACACGGGGACCTTTTGGATGACTACCGGTATAGCGGTGGAAAGCAGGAGAGTTGATACAACAGTGCAACGTGCAATCGGGACGGGGTGTTTAGAAGCATCTAAATGAGGTCGCTATGGTTTGATAAACAGTTAGTGTGATGCAAGAAATTACCGTACAAGGACACTTACGCGACGTTCAGGGGCATCTCGTCGATCTGAGTATTGTAGAATTCTAACCGGGGACATAGGTCAGCCACCAAGCAATCAAACCAACAAAGACGCCACGCCTACGTTCGATATCTCTCAACATCCTCACGTCATCCGTCGTAACAAAGTTAATGGCAACACCCTTACGGCCGAACCGTCCACCACGACCAATCCGGTGGATGTAGTTTTCTCGGTTGGTGGGCAAGTCGTAGTTGATCACAAGCGACACCTGCTGTACGTCAATGCCACGCGCAAGCAAGTCCGTCGTGATGAGCACGCGGGATGATCCTGAGCGGAACTCCTTCATCAGGACCTCGCGCTGCTTTTGGTCCATATCGCCGTGCTAGCCAAGCAAGATCAGTACCCGGCGGCCGCTGAAAATGGACTATCATACCATGGCAGACACAGTGAACTCGCGCGAGTGCATCTTCTCCGTCAACCAGTCGACCTTTCGCCTTGTGTTGCAGAAGATAACCGCCTGGGTAATGGTGACAGTCTCGTACAGATCGCACAGCGTGTCCAACTTCCACTCTTCCTTCTCCACAGCAATGTAGAACTGCTTGATACCTTCCAAAGTCAGCTCGTCCCTCTTGACGAGAATCCGAATGGGGTCGCGCATGAACTTCTTCGTCACCTCCAACACATCAGCGGGCATGGTAGCCGAGAGCAGCACAACCTGGGTGTCCTGCGGCAGCAGCTGGAACACCTCGTAGATCTGGTCCTTGAATCCGCGAGACAACATCTCGTCCGCCTCATCAAGACAGAAGATCTTGATGTTGTCCGTCCGCAGCGCGCGGCGGTTGATCATGTCGTACACGCGCCCGGGCGTGCCGACTACGATCTGCACGCCCTCCTGGAGCTTCGCCATGTCCTCGCGCACGTTCGTCCCGCCAACACACGCGTGGCAGGTGATGTTCATGTAGTCGCCGAGCGCGATCACGACCTTCTGGATCTGCTGCGCGAGCTCGCGCGTCGGCGCGAGGATGAGCGCCTGGCAGCCCTTGACGTTCATGTCGAGCTGCTGCAGGATGGAGATGGAGAAGGTCGCGGTCTTGCCCGTGCCGGACTGCGCCTGGGCGATGACATCGTGGCCCTTGATGACGGGGACAATGGCGCGCTGCTGGATGGCGGAGGGGCGCTCGAAACTATGAACGCCGTGAATTCGTGCTATCTACGAGAAATTTTGCAGCAGAGCAAACTCACCCGTAAGCGTAGATACCTCGAAGCAACTCGGGCTTCAGCTCCATGTTGTCGAAGCTGGCCGCAACCGCCCGTCAGTCCTCTCCTGCACCCTCACCCGAACGAAAAGACGCACTTGTCGACGACCTGGTCCCAGTTGGACTCAATCTCGCCCTCCTGGACATCCTGCAACTGTTCCTCACTGCAAAAAATGCCGCACAAAGCGAACGATCAGCCCGCCAGCACAGACCTCCCAGCGACCCGGAAAACGTACGCAGACATGATTTTTGGGAGTTTTCTTTTGCGATACTAGGGGTCGACCAGCGATGTCGACCAGCGTTGGCTAGAGTACGGGCGGCGGTGGGCGCGATAGATAGATCAGATAGACCTTTGCAGGACGAAAGTCGGTGAAACGAAATTTGACGCCTCCGGGACGGTGCGGGGAATGCCGAGGCCTTTGAAACTCAGCGTTATTTCATTTCCTGGTTGTCATACTTCTCGCGGTGAAGTTCTGACTAGAGTCTATGTATTGCATTCCCGGGTCATGTATGCTCTGCTAACAATCGGATTACAAATGGAATGTAAGTACAGTAGCGTTTTAGGCTGATCCAGGCTGATCCCCGTGGAGGGGTGGAAAGGCTTCCCTCTATTGCGAATATAATCTACGAGCTGACCACGTATACACGCTAATTCAGCTCGCGTCAGAAGTGACGTTGCAAGCCAGCAGCTGCCCTTCAGAACTTTCCCCACAGCTTTCCAAGGACCAGATAGCGGACAATACCCATAAGGACGACCGAAAGCATGATCACGGTCCCTGCACCAAGCGAGCAGTCGGCCAGTCAACTCGGTGTCATCGTAACGCAACATGCGCCAGACTGACCTGCATAAATCCCGGTGGCGAGGTAACCCCCGGTAGCGACGTTAATCGCCCCAGATATGGGCGGCCCCGCGAGTGCGCCGAACGCCTGGATCGTCATCGTCATGCCCACCCTGCGCCCGACGTCGCCTGTCTCGCCAAGCGCGAGCACAGGTGCGATGAGCAGGGAAACGTACACTCCCGACGAAAAGCCGTACAACACCGCGATGGCGATGAAGCCCGACTTGGTGTGTGCGAGCGGCCAGAGATAGGTTAGGATCCCCGCGGCGAAAGTGAATGGCATCATGACGTTGATCCCGCCTGGCGGAGCACTGGAATAAATCTCCATGACTGGGCAGGTGGTGTAGATACGCACCTATGCGATCGGCGAGGAAGCCTGCCATTATCCGGCCAAACGCCGAACTGGCATTGGCAATGGATACGAGGTAGAGCGTGAAGCTCTCGTCGACCCCTGCGTCACTGGCACTGATATCGATGTAGGTCAAAACTGCAGGGAAAAAGTCAGTGATGCGTCTAACTCAGGTCTCTGAAATATGGGTCAGATTCACGTATACGATGGGGTTTTTGTAAACATCAGGCTGACGCTCAGATGGAATTTGAGGATATGACATCCCTAGAGGACATCTAAGACTCGAAGCCTCACCTGTATACAACCCCAAGAACGCAATAAAGCAAGTAAACACGTAAATCGAGAACGCCGGCTTTTTGAAAGCTTTCCAGTTAAACAGTCCGCCGGAAACATGGATCGGCGGCAGCCGTCTACGAAGCGTCTAACACACCGCCGTACCTGGTCATCAGCGAGTGCCACATCGGGAGCCCTAAAGACACCGGGGAGACAACTCACAACATTCCCGACGCTCACGGTCACCATTAGTATGAACCCGATCACCCGTATGGTCCATTTAAATCTAAACCACCATATTGTTACGGTGAATTAAATCCTGAAGAACGGACGGGCGGAATCGTACCCAATCTTGCCAACTAAATTTCGGAATATGATAGGGAATAAAGTCCCGCCTATAGACGACCCAATCGCACATATCCCCAGTGCCGTCTGCCGCTTCTTCCGAAACCAGTGCGCGAGGATCCCCTGCGTGGGCCCGAACATCACCCCCGAGGCCAGCTGAGAGCCATTCAGTCCATTAGTCCGAGTGCACGCTCTGACGCTTGATGTATATAACCGACTCACGCCGATTGCAAAGCCCTGGCAGAGCAAGAACTGCCAGTACTGCGTGCACTCTGCGGTGAGAAAGCAAGCTACCAGGAGCACGATGCTCGCGATCGTGAAGGGCAGGCGGAAGTACCCTATGTCGAAAAGGCGTCCGGAGACGAGGCCGGGGAGGAAGACGAGCGAGTACTTGGCGAGCATTAGGTCAATCGGCCCACCATTGCACGGAGAGTGTCGATACCTACCTGTATTGAGCCGATCCATGCGCTGTGGTGAGATCAGCACCAGGATGCTCGTCGGGGGGAAGGGAAGATGAAGGCATACATAGCGGATGCATTGGTATTCGGGAGCAGTGTTTGTGTGTAATATGATTGGAAGGTCTGGACAAGGGACAGTCATTAACATAGTCAATCAAGTGAGCGGATCATCTTACCCCCCATCCGTTCACCAATCCGAATCTAGTGAAGTAGCAGTATACAGGTTGACCGACAATCAGTATTGAGCGATGCACAGGCAAAGTTTAGGCCATACAACGCGCTCACGTGGATATGTTAACGCAGACGGACTGTTCGAGTTAATGATTGTTTCAATGACTTTCGCGAGCTGAAGTTAGATGGAGAACGTACACCAAGGACGACTAGCCACGCCTGCAGCCCTCCGTCCGGAAAATCGTCGTCCGAGAGCGCCGCCGCCGCCGTCTCCTTTGCGGAAGGGGAAGTCTCTTGAACTGCCTCCTCCTTCTCTTTTGCAAGATACCGGTCATTATCGTTGTTGTCATGAATCGTCAACTCATCAGACGAGACACCTCGCCGGTCTTCCGCCACCATCGTACAACAGACAGCACACACCAAGAACAGAGAGGAAACGGGGAAAGGGGAGGGAAGGAAAAGCGTGCCCGAGTCGGAGTCGTCGCCGTCACTATAGAGTATTTATTTCCCCGCTTCAGATCAAGCACGGGCATCGGCGTAAGAAGAATCGGCATACATATTACCGAAGAGCGTCCAGGCGGAAAGTGCTAGTAACCAAAACCTGTCACACGAAGATCAGGAGACCCACAGGGTCCCCATCGCTGTCCCTCAAACTGCACGTCTTTTGCCTGCAGTGAGGAGGCCTGGGCAGACAGTACGCTCACGGGAAAGGAGACAGCGAGTCCAGATGGGTCAGAAACTGTAAGTCGTGTCGATCTCGAAGAACTCGGAAGGCAAGTTGGACGCATTTCGCAGCTTCTGAGACGTACATGACCGAGTCGGTCCGCATATGCCTGCCGTCGGCAACGTTCCCCAGTGGGGAGAATCTGTACAGTGTACGAAGTCGTGCGGGGTAGAGACAGTACAGGAGGCTCAGTACTGCGAGCGAACAATACGTATGTGTCAAAAATCGGTATTGTACAAGAAGTACCTGGTGCGCACCGACTAATTCTGAGAGGAACGGTAAGGATGTGCTAGTGATATATGAGGAAGTGGTTCAATCTAAGGAAGGCAGGTCAATGCTTATGGCAACAGAGAGCGTTCAGCTCGGAATGATCAGGTCCAGCCGGGCTTGGGGCATGGTCCAGGCACCCGGCAAAGAAAGCAACCCCCGGTCACCTTACTGTGATCCTTTTTGCGAAAGGGTAATCGAGACGATAATGCCCGCAGGGAGGACATTATCGGCATTTCATCGCTTCCATTGCTTGCAATAATTCGTGCATGGATAAGTTGGACTCTTCAGACTCTTTGGCAATAGTGTAAGGGGTAATAGGTCAGAGCCTTAATTCACCGAGTAAATTAACAGTCGCGGTCTGGGGGGGCTAATTCACCCTGCGTAATTCACGGTTAATTAACCAGAGCGGGTACGGGGCAAAGCCCCTGGCTAAAGAGCTATTTGTCGTTAATTAACGCATGAATTAGGTATATCATACCAGGAAATCAACCGTCAAATAGATCATTTCGGTATGCTACCACTTATCCCATTCCAGCGGCGTGTCATCCATAACTGCATCATCCGACACATCTCCATCGCTGTCCACGGTCTCTATGGAGGGGCCCTGTGGAGTGTCAGAGAGGACATCGTGCACACACTACA